AGGTGCCATAGGACTAGAGAAAGACAAATATCCTGATTGTGCCCCCCACCCACCCAAAAAAGTGAAGGGAACAGTCTACAGATTATAGACCAGAGATTTTAATTTCAATTTTTGGGAAGACTCTAGAACAGATCATTAAAAAGATGGCTAGTGAATATCCACAAAAGGAAACTATTTCCAGAGACCTTGCATGGCTTCATCAAAAGTAGGTCATGCCATAGTTATGAAGAGGTACAGTCTCAGACTTACATAGACAACACACATCTATATGCCCAATACCATGTGAGAGTAGCTGGTGTAGATGGTAGGGGCAGGGGCAGGGGCATGGGCAGAGTCCTTTCTCTCCCATCATGGAAAGTCTAAGAAAGCAAGTAAATTCCTCAGCATTGTCACACCTTTAGCAGGTGGAAAGAGAAAGTGACAGGAGGTGGAGTCATTAATTTTAAGGTCTACTGAGTGGGCTCTTCCTGACTTGGTGGCCCATGGTCTCTGATGCAGCCCCTGCACCCCCATCATGAAGTGAGGAAGGAAGCACTTGGGATTATGTATGTCCTTTAATAAGGGGTTGAGGGACAGGTAGGTGGCGCAGCAGATAGAGCACCGGCCCTGAAATCAGGAGGACCGAGTTAAAATTCGGCCTCAGACACATAACACTTACTAGCTGTGTGATCTGGGCAAGTCACTTAACCCCAACTGCCTCACAAAAAGGAGGGGAGGGTTTGAAATCCTTCTTTCATTCTCCACAGGGCCAGAGCACATGATTAAAAGGACTTGCCTCTATTATTGTAAGTTAGTTTTTGGGCAGTGAGGAAAGGCTTCATGTAGAGGGAAGTTCTTAAGCTCAGTCCTGAAGAAAATTAGGGATAGTAAAGGGTGGAAGTGAGGAAGCAGTGTGCACCATGCATGGGGTACAGCCAGTGCAAGGCATTAAAGAAAGAAGATCATCAGGCTAGAGCCGGAAAGGACCTAAGGCAATCAAGCCCAACCCTCTCATTTTACAGATGAGGAAACTGAGGCCCAGGAAGTTAAATGATTTGCCCAAGGTCATACACGTAATAAGCATTAGAAGAGAAGTTTCCTCTGTATTCAGCCAACACTCTTTGCCCTGGGATATCACCTATGAAGGTGCAGCTAGATGGCACAGTAGATGGAGCACCAGGTCTGGAGTCAGGAAGACTCATCTTCCTGAGTTCAAATCCAGCCTCAGACATTTCCTAGCTGCATGACCGTGAGCAAGTCACTGAACCCTGTTTGCCTCAGTTTCCTCATCTGTCAAATGATCTGAAGAAGGAAATGGCAAACCACTCCAGTATCTTTGCCAAGAAAACCCCAAATGGGGTCATGAAGAGTCAGACACAACTGAAATCATTGAAGAACAATCATATATGAAAAGCAGTAAGAAGGCCAATTTGGCTGAATTGTAGAGTGGGTGAAGGGGACTGAATGTAATAACAGGTTAGGAAAAGCAGTCTGGGGGAAGGTGGTGTATGGCTTTAGATGTCATTGAGAGGAGTTTATATTTCATTCCAGAGGTAAAAGTAAGCCACCAAAGGAGGTTTTTTTGTTTGTTTTTTGAAGGGATAGGAGTTATATGGTCAAATCTGGGTATAAGGAAAAAAAAATTTGAGTAGCTAATTGGAGCAGCCTTATGCATGTTGAGGTGAATGGGAAGTGAGGGAAGTGGGAAGAAGCATGAGGCAGGCTGACCCACCAGCAGGTCGTTGTAGTAGTTCAGATGTGAGGTGATGAGGACCTGCACCAGGGTGGTGATAATGTAAAAGAGAGAAGGGGGCATATTCAAGGGATGTTGTGAAGGTGAAATTAGCAGGCCTTGGCAACAGTTTGGATATGAGTTAGTGAGAGATGGTGAGGAGTCTAGGCAACCTAAGGGACTGGGAGGATGCTGTTGACCTCTACAATAATAGGGAATGGGGCTGGGTGGGGGGAGGGAGACGTTAGGGGGAAAGATAATGAGTTCCATTGACACCTAATCCAAGATGGAGCCATTAGAGATACCAGATTGGAGGTCGGCAGAGAGGCTGAAGCAGGATAGGTGGATTCGAGAATCACGAGCAAAGAGATGGTAATTAAATCTATGGGAACTGATGAGATCACCAAGTACTCTACAGGAAGAAGAAATGATAGCTCTGGACAGGACCTTGAGGAACACTTACAGTAAGAGCCTGTGATCTGGAGGAGGATTCAGCAAAACAGACAGAGAAGGAGCTGTCAGAGAGGTAGGAGGAGAACCAGGAGAGACTGGCGCCCCAAAAACCTAGAGAGAAGAGAGTATCAAGGGGGAGAGTGTGATCAACAGTGTCTGAGGCTGCAGAGAGGTCAAGGAGAAAGAGAATGGAGAAAAGAACATTGGGTTTGGCAACTACAAGATCTTTGGAGAGAGAGTACCTGTGGAATGATAAGGTTGGAAGGCAGCTTGTAAAGGGTTAAGAAAAGGGGAAAGAGGAATTGGAGGTGGGGTTTAGAAAGGAGGCTCTTGAAGACTGGACAAGATGGACAGAGTTCTGAGAACTAGCCAGTGCTGCCTGGAAGTTATATCAAATTGAAATAATTCTCACCCACTGCATCTAGTTCTAGTAGAGGAGATGGGGTCCAAAAGGAATAAATTGAATCACTCTTCCCAATGACACACTTTCAGTTACGACCATGTTCATTCCCCTACCACCTCAAGTTTTCAACACGTAAGAACAGCTTTAAAGCACTTTGACCTTCACCCCCTAGTTTTGATTTCTTTCCTACCCAGGCTAAAGGGCATAGAGGTCAATCTCTCCCACCATTCTAAACCAGACCCCTCCCCTCAGAAAAGACCCTTCCACAGCTCTTAAATAATGCCCCCCATACCCCCTACCACACACACACACACACACACACACACATACATACACACACACACCCATACTAGACCTCTTGCCATCTGACCATCTGGACCAGTCCAAATCCAGAGCCTCCTCAATACCAACCATGGGGGAAAAATCAAATAATAATACTGGCTAACATTTATATACCACTTTAGGTTTTGAAAAACATTTTACATATATAGGGTATCCTCAAAGTCTTTCTGTAGTTTTAAGCTTACAATTTTAAGGATATCCCATATTATTTCATTTGAGCTTCACAACAACCATGTAAGATAGATGCTATTATTAATCCTCATTTTACAGATGAGGAAACTGAGGCTAAGAGAAAGTGATTTGCCTATGCTTGCATAGCTCATCAGAGTCTAAGGTAGGATTTGAATTCAAATATCCTTGATTCCTAGTCCATCTCTCTATCCACTATGTACCCAGCTATCAAAATCCAAACTTGCAGGGAAGGACTAAGAGAATCAAAAATACCTCAGCCCAGCCCTGACATCCTAGGGTGAGAAAATCAAAACAATATTTGGTCTGGGAAAAGTATGCCAATCTATTGCTCCATGGCAAATAAATTCTCTTCTTTCTCCTCTCTGAATCAATTAATCAACAGTATTTATTAAATGTCTATGTGTCAGGCAGCAGAAAAAGACAAAAGTAAGATAATTCCTACTCTCAAGAAGTTTGTGTAAATGTGTACATATATGAATATAAACTATATGTGTAAATATGCACATACCTCCATTGATAGAATGTAGAAGCAGCCCCATTACATGATACATATATGTGTATACATACACACATGTCTTTATGCATACACATGCAAATGTACATGTGTAGAATGAGGCTGATTCTACCTCCTATTATATTTAGGTATGTATGTGTGTATATGGAAAGGATGTGCATGCCTAACCTGCTTGCCCACCTGATGCAGTTCCCTCCTGGAAGAGACTGGAGAGTCAGCTAATGTGAAGGCATGATGACATGTAATGGAAACACCCTACTCTCTGATTTGTAGCATATGCTGATATTCTGGTTCTGGTCTTTTAACCAGGTGTGGAAGAGCCTGACTATTGATTGTGTAAGATAAACTGGTGTATGTTCAAAAAGCAGCCAAAAGGGAGGCTGGTCTTCCTTCTTGCCTGGCTCTGTGGCAGTAAAGAGGCAAGAATACTGGAAAGGCCTTAATGGGGAGAGAGATTCATATGAACAGTGTGCACATAAGGAGACACATGTGCAATGCACCCAGGCATGTGGAAACTCACAATGTGGCATAACGGAAGGTGGGCTAGACTTGACGGGAACCAGACAGTGGCTTGAGTTGAACTGAGACTGACGCTAGCTGTGCCATTTCCTTTCAGCCTGCTGGTTTTGTCCTCCATTAAACCAAGGATTTGGACTGGATCAGATTTCCATTAATCAAGTGCCCATCAAGAACAAATCAGTGCCAGGTACCAGGAATTTGGCTGCAAAAAGGAGAAAGATACAGGAAGATAGCAGGGTCGATCGGAAGCTTTTTAAGGATGTGTGCGCATCCGTGTTTCTGTGTGTAGTCCGGGTGCAATACGTATGTCTGAATATGCATACATACATGTTTGCAGGAACGTTTGTCTGAGTGTCTTTGTGCCTGGTCCACAAAGAGTGTCCCCTCCTTCTCTGCTTAGAAAGGAGGCAATCTGGGGATTAATGGAACAATGTCCTTCTTTCCTCCTCCCAAAGGGCGTGTTGTTGTTGGTCTGAGTCAATTCTTTGTTAATCCACTTGGGTTTTCTTGGCAAAGATACTGGAGTGGTTTGCCATTTTCTTCTCCAGCTCATTTTATAGTTGAGAAAACTGGGACAAACAGGGTTAAGTGACTTGCCCAGGGTCATACAATAGTCGTGTCAGAGCCCAGATTTGCTATCAGGAAGATGCGTCTCCCTGGCTCTAGGCACAGCATTCTATCTCCTGCACACCTACACGTTTAGGGGAACGAAAGGAACCTTGTACCTCCCGTCTCCATCCAGCAGAGGACGCTGTAGCTGACCCACCTGTTCCGCGCTTGCCCAGACCAGGCGGAAGTGACGCTATGAGGTTGGCATTATAAACCCTTTCCCAGGCTGCTGGCCTTTCTTTCACAGCTGCCGCAATGGAGCCGCGGCCGTTCTATCAGCCTACCGCCTCTGGCCATCCCCGACCGTCCGCGCTTCCCCAGCGCTGTGGTCACCGGTGGCTTGACCCTCCCTGATTTCACCGCGGAGGACCAGTGAGAGCCGAGTCGGGCCTTCCCCTTGGGGCCGTGCTCCCATTGCGCCCCTCCCTCCGCAGGGCGCCCGCATGGAACCCCGCGTGGGCCCAGGGCGGGAAGAAAAGGTGCGGGAGATCTCCGCTCGCGCTGCGGGGGTTAAGTGGGGTGGGGAGGGGTCTATCGGGATAACCCCGCCAGCCCGGACTTGGGGAGGAGGGATTAGCCCCTGGCCCAGGTGTGCAGGAGGTGCGGAGATGGCGCGATAAAAGGACGGACTTGATAGGATCTAGAGTTATCGAGGTGATACTGCGAATGAATGGATGGACGTGCATTCTGCAAAGCGGGGTCGGGGAGGGTGGGGGTGGGCACCGGGGGACTTCAGTGGCTGGGGTTAAATCCCTCTGTGCTGGGGCGCTGCCATCCGCGTGGACCAATTCTCTCCGCGACCCCGAAAGTCTTTTTCCTGGCCCTGCATTCGAAAGTGATCATGGTCTAACTGTGACCTGGTCATTGATAGTGCAGGAAGATAAACTCCTGAAAGGGTTTTCCCGTGTTTGAAGGGTTAGCATCCAGCCCTTTCAAACCCTGTACCTTTCACACACGTCAGAAACTGACAAGGCAGTTTTGGAAGCGTTGGGACTTTAGCTAGTTGCTTGTTATTAGGAAAATGTCAAAGACTTTTGTTTTTTTACTTTATTTTGGGTTGCCTTTTAATCCTAGCAGGCTGTTCAGATAATCCCATCATCTACAAGAGGATTTGGCCTTGGACAAGTACTTTTGCCTGTCTCAGGTAAGGAGGTTTCTGCTCATCCAAGTGCAAGGGGAATCTATCAAAGATTTCTTAAGCTCTGAAATGGCTACCACCATTATACTGGAACAAGTATTCGTATCTTAGGATTGTTACTCTTGGAAGGAGCATTTATTGAGTACTTACTATCCCTAACAGGATCTTCAAATACTAATCTTTAGAGGTCTTAAGATTGTTTCTAGGTTTGTCACTCTTAGAACTATAGATGGGAAGGTGCATTTTATTAAGCACCTCTTACATGCCAGGTACTGTTCTAAATGCTTTACAGATATTATCTCATTTGATTTTCACAACAATCCTGGGTGGTTGATGCTATTATGATCCCATTTTATAGGAAACTGAGGCAAACAGTGGTTAAGTGACTTGCCCAGGGTCATACAGCTAACAAGTGTCTAAGCCTAGATTTTAACTCCAGTCTTCTGACCCCAAGCCCAGCGCTCTATCCATTGAGCCACCAACTGCCTCTAAGGCTCTTGCCTTAGTTGGTGCCATGTGTCTGGTGCACATTACCCTAACATATAAAGAGCTTGACTTCGTGGTATGGTGGAATGAATGCTAGGTTTAGAATTAAGGGATTCAATTTCAAATCTTGGCTCTGCTACTTAATAGTCCTATGAAATTTCACCACCTAGTTCTTTTTCATTTGTGTGTTTCTTCTGAACCCCACTCCATTCTCCCTACTTTTTTTGAACCTGTATTGTTAGTGGTTAACTATCCACCTGGGTTTGGTTGTATAAGGTAAAGAATATTTTTCTTGTGTTTGAAGTCTGTCTTTGAGAGGGCACCAAATTTGAGTCAAAAGACTAGGGTTTGAATCTTGTTCTTAAATTAGTTGAGTGCCCTGGAATATCTGACACTGGACTAAAGTGAGCCTGTTTCCTCATGTATAAACTGTTAGAGGTAATAGGGACTGCTGCTGTGTTTTTATTGGAAACTCCCATCTACCAGTGCAGGTTGGCATTTCTGCAATTTGCGGTCCTTTAAAAGAGTTGCTTAGAGCAGAGGTAGGCAAACTATGGCTATGGTCTGTAGGCTGAATCTGTTTCACCACCAGCTTTTATCCAGCCCACAAACTACATTTAAATCCATTTCCAGCTCCTGGCTTAGAACACTGATGTGAGGTGACTTATCCAGCATCATAGTCACTGTCATATTGGATACCTAACCCATTTCTCTTGACTTCAAGGCTGGCAATCCTATACAATGATGCCTTTCAGAAAAGGCGTGCTTGAACTAATAATAAGCCCACACTATAAAGGGAGGCATAAATGTGGGTGCTAGTTATCTTTAGTAAAGGTTGAATGTTGATGTTATTTCTCTTGGTAGTCCTTTGGGGAATGCTAAATTATGAACTGGCTTGGAGAGGCAGTGTAGTGAGACTTCTCATAGAACTGCAGCCTACTTGATTCCTGAGATGCTCATTCTCAAGAAAGTTGAGAAGTGGATTTAGAAATGGTATAAAGCTACAAAATAGTGATAAGTGACATGTATGCCCTGTCCTAATACAGGACCCTGTGAAATAAACCTTATTAGCAGAGAAATGAAGTTGCTATTTAAGTATAGCTGAAGGTCCTTAGTACTCTAGCTTCTGGCTGAGATGAGTTTTGACTCCTAGCTACCCACAGCTGGCTTTCTATGTCAGTCTCCTCTAGAATAGGGCAGAGGTTCTCAACCTTTTTTCTCAAGAATCCCTTTGGCAGTCTGGTTCAGTTTTTGGACTCCTGTTTTTAAGTGCATAAAATACATAGGATTATAAAGGAAACCAATTACATTGAAATAGTTTAAAATAATTAATAACTTCCTATGTTTTCTCAGTGTCTATGCTTTGCCCATAACAGACTTTTCAAATGATTGAGGATATTCTATTTGGCAAAAATCACTTAAGTGCTAGATGCTGGACATAAAAAGATAGTGAAACAGTCTGGCTTCAGGGTGTGCTTACATTTTATGGGTGAAGAGAATGAGTTAGATAGAATCCCTAGCTTAAAATAGGATCAAACAGGTTCTCAGGCCTTGGATTTCAGGCCATGTTTTAGGTTATTGAAATAGCTGCTTGAAGAAACTGTTGGCCTTGGGCCCTTTTGGGTATGTATACTCATAATTGCATCTTTACAAGTTTACTTTTTCCCTTGTTTCAGGACTAGCCAGTTGGCCTACATTTGTGGAATACTATAAAACACCAAGAAGAAAAAATAGGAAGTTAAACCTGGCTTCAACAGAATTCTGGTCATGATAGACCAGATTCAAATCACTTGGCTTCAGCTGAATCATCATGGTGGGAAAGGCAGGATTACCTGGATCTAGAAGTTTCTTGTCCTCTGTTGACTGGAAAGCATCAGGGGCCTTGGCTTCTAGCACAAAGGGGAGGAAAAGTTCCTGCCTTACCTTAGCTCAGCCTAAAAACATTCTGCATCTGCCATTCACTGCCTGGACTGAGCTTTTGGAGTTAACATTCTCATCTGATCTTACCTCCCACTTCTAGGAACATATCTCTTTGTTTCATTATGGCTTCTAGTACTCATAGACTTCTGGACTCGAATACTCATTGTTTCTCTTTACCATCTTTACTTAACCTTTTTTCCATCAAGGTTCATACTTTTCAAATTCACAACCCAAGTTCTGTATCACAATGGCTATTTACTGGCCTTATCTCATGTACCCTTTATACTCACATCTCTGCCAAGAAGCATTCAGGCTTCAGTAACCAGAATCCCCACGCTAGGACAAGTCCTAGTAGGCTTTCATCTGAGTTATGAAACCATTATGACACTGTAGCATTTATTTCCATTTGGAATAAACTGTTTTAGAAGAATCTGTGAAGTTTAGAATATAGTATCCTATAAAGATGTTTGGAAAATAGGGACTGCTCCTAGATCAGTCCACCAAAAAAGCCCCTAGCGTGGCCCATAACAGATTGTATTGATGACATTTTTTCTAAATAAATCCTATAATGCTTAGAAAGCCCCATGATGTTACTCTAAATTCCTTTGTTCTTTAAAAGGAAAAAAAAAAAATTTGTATAAGTATGTATGAATGGCTCCAAGCTTCTAGGTGGTGACTCACCTGGTGTAGTGTTTTAAATCGAACATGATAACCAGAAGGGGTAAGCCAAATTATTTGTGCTGTATCACAATTGGTAGTAGATACACTATGATGCAGGGGGAGGTGTTGACCATCAAAGGTCCTTTTAGTACTGTATATGTGAATATCCTTGGAGCTTATTCCTGGATAATGTTTAGCAGCTGTTGACCTGGAACACTGACATTTTTAACAGTAGGCTTTAAATGTTGGCACAAATATTTCTGGTCACAAGTTTCTTGGAGGTAAAAGTGAAAAATGTAAATGGTTTATTATTAAGCAATACAATTAAGACAAAAAGAACAAACAACTTAAAACCTCATCTAAACATTTTTTAAACTATAAAAAGATGTTCTTCCTGTTAAGTACAGGCCTTTTGCATGCTGTCAATGAAAGTAGAAAGAATATAATGGTTATAGTTACATAGAGATATGTACACTTAAGAAGTGCTGTATCTTCACTTACGAAGGTGTAGATACTACACAAAACTTGAAACTAATAATAAGGCTTATTCTTAGAAGCAAAGTAACAGGATAGGGGAGTATAAAGACCTAGGATTCAAAGCTGTGTGACCTTGGGCAAGCCACTTAAACATGGAAGTGCTGCACTGTATATTTGCCACACCCTTTGCTGTTACTGTACTGGGTTTTTAGAGATATGTGAATATGGGGCAAACAATGCTGGCAGCTATGTTTAAATATCAAATAACCACTAATAGAGAAGTAAAGAATTGTGACCAAGCTGGGGGCAAGGTCTTGGGATGATCCTGCTGTTGAAGCAGCAAAGGGGTGACAGACTGATGTGTTAGAATAAATGAGCTGATATTCAGCTTTAGACCCTCATAAGATAGCTGAGGAAAGCTATTTGAATTAGGACTTGGCAGGAATCTACTAATTGCCCATCAAAAACATGTATGTAAGGTAACTTATTGAGAAGAGGAGAGCCTTATTTTTGAGCCACCAAAGCAGTGAGCAGGTGTGTCAAACAGGTCACCGTAGCAGGTTGCCATGCCAGGCTAGAAGAATTTATCTCTAGTTCAGGGAAAAAAGTGTCCCTTAAAAGAATGGGAAGTTCTTTGAGGAGAAACTGAGAAGCAATCTTGAGATAAGTCCTAACCAGTACCAAAGTATAGACAAATGTGGAGTGGACAAATATAACTTAAAAAAGATCTGTGGAGTTAAGTAACAGGTATGAAGCACTTCCCATTTGGTGGGGAACTAAATCCTCAGTAGGAAGCAATTTCTTATGGATCCTAATATCCCATCAGAAGAGAAGTCATTCAGTCAAGGTCGGCATTGAGACAAGTAGTGGTTGTTGGTCACTCCCTCCTTATGAGTACCAACGTAGTTGTCAAAGACAACAGCTTTGGTATCTTCCTGGGTAACATTATCAAGGATATGACAGAAAGTGTTCTGAGAAGTGTCAGATATGATGATCACTACCCACTCCAGATGATTTATAGGATAAATTATACCATTAAAAGGAACCAAGGAAACATTGCTAAGGATTTGTGAAGTCTTTGGCAAGAAATGGAAAACTATTTTAAGGATATGCATATTTTCATTACCCTTAACTATTGTAGAAGCTTCAAAAGGAAAATTGAGATTTAGGAAGCAAATTAAGAAGCTACTATCTGGGAACAAGATTTCAGTTTCTGGATAAAGCTTAGGACGTATGAATAATGGCTTGCATACAGACAATATCCCTAATGATAGCTAGTAAAAAAAAAAATTACTTCAATTCCCAGCAAAATTCTAGAATTTGAAGATTATGTTGTGAACATTTAGAAAGGGAAATAGCAATCACAACTTGATAGAGAATAGGTCATGTCAGACTAGTTTCATTTTCTTTTTGACATTATGGGATGCCTGATAATAAGTGGGAGCAAGTTCAAAAGATGACTAGAATGAGGAGGAGATTGGTCTCCAAAGAACATGGGATTTTTATCCTGAACAAGAGAAAACTTAGGAGGAACAGGATCATTAAGTAAAGGGCTGTCATATGGTAGGGAAATCAGACCTGTTCTACTTTGGCCCAAAAAGCAAAACTAGGTACAACAGGTGGAAGCTGCACAAAGATAGATGTCAGCTCAACTTCCTAACTAGGAGAGCCTTTCCACAGTGGAATGGGTTGCCCTGGGAGGTAGTAGATTCACCGCCATTGGAGGTCTTCCAGTGAAGGCTAGATGACCACTTGATGGAGATGTAGCAGAGATTCCTATTGAGGTATAGGCTGGACCAGATGGCCTCTGAAATCAAATCCAACTCTAAAGATCTTGTAATTCTGTGGCCTGTCACTTTTTGGCACAAGTGCTAGAGGGGGTTGCCAACTCCTGTCTTAGAATGATAACAATTGAGAACTATAAAAGCTTTGGCTATCGGTATTCTTAACATTATCAAAAATAGGTTACTTACATTTACAGCAGAACATAGACACATATTTTAGAAAAGTTTGGCTCAAAACTTCTTAGAGCATTATTTACAATCAATTTTCTCCCTGCTTCATTAACTTAAAAACAGTGAGAGATTCTATAAGCCAAATGAAAAAAGGCACATGAGATATTCACCTTCAAAAGTATATCCTTATGGTTTAAGAAATAACTTTACTTCATTGCTCACTAATTCTGATCTCAAAGATGATCACGGGAATAAAACTCCACATGAATGTAATTTGCCCCCTCAAGAGCAACTGATACATTCTTAATGACTTAAGAAAGAAAATTTCAATATGGTGGGCGCCAACACCAATCAGTATTTGTATGAAGACAATTATAGATTAAAGGTCCCACTGCCAAGCAAAGTCTCTGTCTTATACCACATTTTGGATAAATAAAAACATAAAAAGTATTGAAATCATTCTGCACCATTCGATACAGGGTATCCCAGTAGACTCAGTGCCATGTGCAGAGCTAGACGTTCCAATGGAATGCCTATCTTTCAGAAAATAGGGAACTGACCTGAATGATTTTTTTTTCCTGAAACCACATGAGTGTTAATGATTGGCTCTTTCACTGACAACATCTTGTAGTCGTTTCAGTAATACGTCATCATTTTCTTGGCAGAGGCGCTTAGTTGGTGATTGAGTATCGCCGTCAATGGTTAATGCTCGCTTCTTGCTTCTTTGTTCACCATGTTTAATCATATTGTTGATGTCCTTCAAACTCTGTCCAAAACATCAGAAAAATTTTAGGGAAAACTCTGTGTGTGTGTGTGTTTTAACAGTTTTAGGCAGAAGGTCACTCATCCAAATTTTCAACTATGGCAGGTAAGTACCTGTAACACATCTTCCTAAGGCACGTTTATGCATTTTATAACTAAAACTAGCTGGTGTCTTCTGAATACATATAACAAATGTGGGTCAATCGGCAAATACCTTGCCTGCCTCAGCATCTGAAGGTTCCTTGTACTATACGGACATTTTGGAAAACTACTGCTTATTCTAAGTGAGATTCTTGAGAATATTCAACTTAAAATAATGAGGACATGAAGAAACTGAAAACTGGACATGAAAAGCTGTCCTTTTATAATTTTTACTCCTCAAATTTAATACCTTTCCATTAAATGTTAAAAGCAAAAAACAAAAAAAGGAAAAGTTAAAAAAGAAAAACTGAAATTAATTTTTAAAACTATATTAAAAGTGCTTAAGCACTGACCTTGGAAGGGCTGCCATTGAACCTGTAGAGCAGAGCTGTCCTTGGGGTAAGGCAAGCTCCATTCTGGTGTGGGGACACATAAACAGAATGTTGCTGAGAGATCCGACGAGGTGACGCTGGCTGCTGCTTAATGTTTGGGAAAGGAGACAAAGGCAGAGCTTCCATCTGAAATTTTAAAATATAATGTCATTTTTGGAGTAGTTGCTTAAGGATTTTTTAAGTCTAACTTTTTTTTTCATACTTGTGGACATCTGCTTAGCTGGAATAAAAAACAAACTGCTTCTTACCACCATTTGTGTTCAGCCCTTAACAGATGAACCTGCATCTTTCTAGGTTCATTAGAACTTTACTCTGACTCCCAGGTGCTGCAAACACTGGTGTTTCAAAGTGTGAGTAAGAATTTGGAGCAGTTCTAATTAAGAGCAACCTTATATTTACATATTTTAGGAGTGCAATAGTTAAGGAGGGCCAGAACCTGATAACCACATATATACATTTGTTGTTGTTATTTAGTCATTTCAGTCATGTTCGACTTTTAGTGACCTCATTTGGAATTTTCTTGGCAGACACTGGAGTGGTTTACCTTTTCCTTCCCTGGTTCATTTGACAAATGAGGAAACTGAGGCAAACAGGGTTAAGTGACCCGCTCAGGGTCACATAGGTGGGAAGTGTCTGAGGTCACATTTGAACTCAAGAAGATGAGTCTCCTGACTCCAGCCTGGGCACTCTATCCACTACACCACTTACCTGCCCCAACACACACACACACACACACACACACACACACACACACACACACACAAATATATTTTATTTACTTTCTCTTTTGTTTCTATTAAGGGTCAAACAATATTAACAGCTATAACAAATGCATCTGAAAAGCAATAGGTAGGAAATAGGAAAATTTGCACATACATACCACATGGTCTTCATTTGACAAATCATATTTTAGTGCAAATGATTTCACTCTTCCTACATAAACTTCATTGTAGAATTTGATAAGATCACCTCTCTCTTCTTTCATTGATCCTGTGGAACAGTCTGGTATTTTTGCACAATCTAAATCTATTGAAAATGACATACATTATAACTAGTCTGCTTTTGCATAAAAGTTGCCAACTTCAAATAACATTTTTGCTACAATATAAAAAAGACAAGCAAAAGCTTTATATTGGGCTTTCACTATGTATTGGGAGCTTTATAAGCAACTGAAATATGATTAAAAAGTTAGCTGGAGAAATGAAAAGTTGTAAGCTTGAAGTTTAAGTCTGGAGTAGACAGTATCATATTAAACTTATTTTACAGCCTATTATTAGATCCAGGAAAGAAGGCAATACAAGACTAACACTTTTACAAAGATAAAAAAAAAATGCTCATTAACAACTGTTACTTTCCTCATATAGTGTATCCCAAAAGTTTTATAAAGCTAATGAAGCTATATAATTTTCCTTCTGCAGTATTTTGGAAATTCAGCACAACTGGGAAGGGAAGGTCAATCATAGGTACTGAAAACAGAAGCCAACACATTATCAGTGGTCAAAGTTGCATTCCTTTGCTTCAAGTCAGCTTAAAGGAGTTGGCTATCCCAAATTTATCCATAACCCATGGTAACTAGAAGAATGAATGTGAGTGTGTGTGTGTACAACAGCGATGAAAAATAAAACCTTTCGACTGGTATAGAGCATATCAGCGGTACTGTTCCTCAACCCTTTCCTCTATCAACAGCAACCTAGACACAATGAGCAACATGTACTCCCTCTTTACTTCTACCTTATAAAATTCTTCTTTTTCTTAAAGAACCTCAAAAAACATCTAAATGAAGTCTTTCCTGGTATGTCAACTGCTAATTCCTTCTCTCCCAAATGCCCTTGTATTTAACTACTTCATAGGCATACCCTATTGGATATGTATGTTATTCCCTCCTTAAGCCAAACATAATGAGAGTAAGGTTAACTCATTCCCTCTCCCTCCCCCTCCCCTACACTGTAAAATTTTTTGCATGACTCTTTTATGTGAGATAATTTACCCCATTCTACCTCTCTCTTTCTCCTTCTCCCAGCACATTCCTCTCTCATCCCTTAATTTTATTTTTTAGATATCATCCCTTCATATTCAACTTACCTATCTATATACATATTATATATATGTACATATATATATATATTCCCTCCCACTACCCTAATACCAGGAAAGGTCTCATGAGTTACAAATATCATCTTTCCATGTAGGAATGTAAACAGTTCAACTTTAATAAGTCCCTCATGATTTCTCTTTCCTGTTTACCTTTTCATACTTCTCGAGTCTTGTATTTGAAAGTCAATTTTTCTATTTAGCTCAGGTTTTTTCTCAAGAAAGTATTAAATTCCTCTACTTCACTGAATATCAATTTTCCCCCTTCATTGATTACACTCAGTTTTGTTGGGTAGGTGATTCTTGGTTTTAATCCTAGCTCCTTTGACCTCTGGAATATCATATTCCAAGCCCTCCCAATCCCTTAATGTAGAAGCTGCTAAATTTTGTGCTACTGATTGTGTTTCCACAATATTTGAATTGTTTCTTTCTGGCTGCTTGCAATACCTGGGAACTCTGGAATTTGACTATAGTACTCCTGAGAATTTTCCTTGGGGAATCTCTTTCAGGAGGTAATAGGTGGATTCTTTCAATTTCTATTTTGCCCTCTAGGTCTAGAATATCAGGGCAGTTTTCCATGATAATTTCTTGAAAAATGATGTCTAGGATCTTTTTTTGATCATGGCTTTCAGGTAGTCCAATAATTTTTAAAGTATCTCTCCTGGATCTATTTTCCAGGTCAGTTGTTTTTCCAGTGTAATATTTCACATTGTCTTCTATTTTTTCATTATTTTGGTTTTACTTTATAATTGGTAATTTGGTTTTCCTTTATAATTTCTTGATTTCTTGAGTCATTAGCTTCCATTTGTTCCATTCTAATTTTTAAGGAATTATTTTCTTCAGTATGCTTTTGGACTTCCTTTTCCATTTGGCCAATTCTGCTTTTTCAGGCATTCTTCTCATTAGCTTTTTGGATCTCTTTTTTCATTTGGGTTAGTCTATTTTTTAAGGTCTTATTTTCTTCAGTATTTTTTTGGGTCTCCTTTAGCAAGCTGTTGACTTGTTTTTCATGATTTTCTGGCATCACTCATTTTTCTTTGCAATTTTTCCTCTACTTCTCATACCTGATTTTCAAAATCTTTTTTGAGCTCTTCCATGGCCTGAGACCAATTCATATTCTTCTTGGAGGCTTTGGATGTAGGAACTTTGACTTTGTTGTCTTCTTCTGAGTGTATGTTTTGATCTTCATTGTCACCAAAGTAAGTTTCTATAGTCAGAGTTTTTTTCCTGTTGTTTGCTCATTTTCCCAGCCACTTACTTGACTTTTAAACTCTTTGTTAAGGTAGGGCTCTGCTTCCAGCATGGAGGGTGTACTATCCCAAGCTTCAGGGGTTTTGTGCAGCTGTTTTCAGAGATGCTTCTAGGGACCTGGAAGTTTTCAGTTCTTCCAAGGTGGCATGATCTAAGGAGAGGTATTTACTCCTTTCCTGGCCTGTGCTCTGGTCTGTGAGTGACCACAATCACTCTTTTCTGCCCTGGAACTGTGAGGAGGGTTCCTTCTCCACTGCTGCACAAGCTCAGCTATGTCAGTGCTCCTCCTCACATCAGGACTGCCACCTAGGACTTCAATTCAGATCTAAGTATGGGCAAAGCAACAGAATCCTACCTCAGTGCCAGTAAAGAGACCCCTGTAATCTCCTTCTGATCAGTTGTTTGATCCTCTTACAGTCTGTGGGCTGGGAGCTCTGAAAGCAGCCGTTGCCGCTGCCACTGCCGCTGTCCCAGGGCTGTGCTGGGGCCGAGGCTGGACTGTGTTCCTCTCTCATCCAGGTCCAACAGACCTTTCCTACTGACCTTCTAAGTTGTCTTTGGTGTTTGTGGGTTGAGAAGTCTAGAAATTGCCACGGCTGCCAGTGATTCAGTCCTCTGAGGCCTACTCTGGGTTTGCTGGGGCCCAGTCTTTGCTTGTGTGGCCTGTGCTAGACTGTACTCCTCTCTCAGCCTGATACCACAGACCTTTCCTGTTGACCTTCCAGGTTGTCTTGGGTTGGAGATTTGTTTCACTCTGTCTTTTTGTGGTTTCGGCTGTTCTAGAATTTGTTTAGAGTCATTTTTTACAGGTATTTGGAGGGGTTTTGGGGGAGAACTCAAGCGAGTCCCTGCCTTTACTCTGCCATCTTGGCTCCACCCCTATTTTATGCATTTAAAAACATCATTCTGAAGAATAATGGCAGGCTTCAACAGACTGCCAGAGGGGTCCATGCGAACTCCTGCAATAAGTCTCTAGGAGTTCATTATAATAAATACATCATAACAAAAACTTGCAAGCAGGAACAGCTTTATTAGAAAATAGTCAACTAAAGTTACTTACCATAATCTGCCATTTCTGTATGTTTTACATTTTTATTGTACGTGCTTACTTCTCTTGGAATTCTTTTCAACAGAACACTTCTATAAACCTACAGTTGAAAAGAGAGAAAGACTACTGCAGTTACAAAAAGTGGCATAGCTAACAAACATCAAATGAAGGCAAAATAATTAATCAATAGGAATTGATGGACACGTATTCATCACTGAATATTCAAAAATATTCAATAACATGTATCAGAGTATGTATGAACAATACTGCTAGAAAAATGTTATGTTCTAACTAATCCTTTAAAACCCAAGGTGAGGTATATCCAAGGTGAGGTAGGAAATAGATGAACAAGCTAGTGGAACAGCAATGTAATCAAACATCACTTTGCCATTTAAAATTGCAAATGAAGACTATAAAGAAAAATAAAAAGACATATCGTTACAACATAAAGCAGAATTAGAAAAGCATAGACAATGACGTACATGTAAAAAAAAATTTTTTTAAGTACACATACAAAAAAGAGACCGAAAGAGAGAATAAAGTCAATCATTGAATATTGACTTTGACAAAGAACAGATATAGTTTAGAATAGTGTTTTTATGGTTATTTTAAAAAAGTGTTTATTATTTATTTTTAACCTTTTAAAAATTTTTTTGAGTTCCAAATTCTCTTCCTTCCTCCCTCTGTAGCCCATTGAGAAAAAAAGAAATGTGATATCAATTATACATGTGAAATCATGCAAAATATATTTCCGTATTATCCAATATTATCCATGTTGCAAAGAAAAAGCAAGAAAAATAAAGTGAAAAAATTATGCTTCAATCTGCATTCAGATTTCATCTGTTCTCTCACTGGAGAGGTGGATAGTATTTTTCATTGTTAAGTCCTTCGGAATTGTTTTGGATTATTGTCTTGATCGGAATAGCTAGCTAAGTCATTCATAGTTGATCATTATACAATATTGCTGTTACTGTGTACAATGTTCTCCTGGTTCTGCTCACTTCACTTTGCATCAGTTCATATATGTCTTCCCAGGTTTTTCTGAAACTAACCTTCTCATCATTTCTTATAGCACAATAGTATTCCATTACAACCACATACCACAACTTGTTCAGCCATTTCCTAATTCATGGGCATCTCAACGTCTAATTCCTTGCTACCACAAAAAGAGCTATTACACATATTTTTCTACAAAAAGGTCCTTTTCCTTTTTCTTTGATGTCTTTGGAATATCTAGTAGTGGTATTGTTGGGTCAAAGAGTATACACAGTTTTATAGCCCTTTGGCCATAACTCCAAATTGTTTCACAGAATGGTTAGCTCACAACTCCACCAACAGTGCATTAGTATCTCAATTTTTCCACATCTTCTCCAACATCTGTCATTTTTCTTTTCTGTCATGTTAGCCAATCTAATAGGTATGAGGTGGTACCTCAGAGTTGGTTTAACTTGCATTTCTCTAATCAATAGTGATTTAGAGCATTTTTTCATATGACTATAGAGTTTTCATTTCTTCTTCTGAAAACTCCCTGTTTATATCCTTTGATAACTTATCAATTGGAAAATGACTCTTATTTTTACTAATTTGATTCAGTTCCCTATATATTTGAGGAATGAGGCCTTTCTTAGAGAAACTTACTGCAAAACTTTTCCCCCAGATTGCTGCATTCCTTCTCACCTTGGCTACATTGGTTTTCTTTGTGCAAAACTTTAAAAATTTAATGTAATCAAAATTATCCATTTTACTTCCTAGAGCTTCTTTATCCCTTGTTTAGTTATAAATTCTTCTCTTATCTATAGATCTAACAGATAAAATTTTCCATACTCCCCTAAATTGCTTATGATATGACCCTTTATGTCTAAATCATACCCATTTTGAGTTTATCTTGATATACAGTGTGAGATGTTAGTCTTTACTTAGTTTCTGTCAAACTGCTTTCCAGTTTTTCCAGCAATTTTTGTGAAGTACAAAGTTCTTGTTCCAAAAATTTGGATCTTTGGGTTTACCAAACACTAGATTACTATGGTCTTTTACTACTATGTACTGTATATCTAACCTATTCCACTAATCCACCATTCTATTTCTTAGCCAGTGCTAGATCATTTTCATAATTACCACTTTGTAAAATAGTTTGAAATTTGGAACTATTAGGCTTCCTTCTTTAACATCTTCAAAAATTGGTTTCTTTAATGTTTTTAATCTTTTGTTCTTTGAGATAAATGTTATATTTTTTCCAGCTCTAGAAAATAATTTTTGGTAGTCTGATTGGTATAGCACTGAATAAGTAAATTAATTTAGACAGAATTGTCATTTTTATTATATTTGTTTGGCCCACCCTTAAGCAATTAATATTTCTCCACTTGTTTAGATCTGTATTTGTGTGAAGAGTTTTTTGCAATTGTCTTAATTTTTTTTTTTTTTTTTTTGTTGAAGATTTTGTTGATTTGAGTTGGCTGGAAAGGAATTCTTGGTGAAAGCTTCTGTCTTTGAATATGGGGTGTGAGTAAAATGCCTTTCTGTCTCTGAATTGCATGAGGGCATATTGAGAGTGATCATATTATAGAATTTCAAAATGTCAAAATAAATCTCTAAGAAGTAAGATTTTTTTTTTACCCATTTCCATACTGGATATTTTTTTAAATTAAAACTTTAAAAAATTTTTATGTTCATTTGAACAGAAAGTTTTATATAATGTATCACATTTTCCATTATAACACTTCAGGAAATGTTTAGCTTCTACCTTGAATAGCCAAGCAACAGAACTATGAAGTGAAGGATAAGAAAGTTTAACTTAGGTTTTGTTTTCTTTTTGAAGTTCAACTTATGTTAATAACACCACCAAACTGTCACTCAATTTGAAAGTTTTCAACATTTTAACATGATGTGGTAGACTAATAATAAGCACTAGAATGGAAGTCAAAAGACTTGAATTCTAGTGCCAACTTTGTCACCAGCTCACTGCTTGAGGTTGGACAAGTCACTTCCTCTCTTTGGGCCTCAATTTCTTCTGTAAAATGAGCAAGTTGGAAGAGATAAATTCTAATGTCTAGAAACTCTAATTTCTTTATTTTTTTAATTTTTTAATTTCTTTTTTGTTAATAAATTTACTTATTTTTAGTTTTCAACATTTACTTCCACAAGATTTTGAATTCCAAATTTTCACCCCATCTCGCCCTGCCCCCACCCTAAGATGGCATACATTCTAAATACCCTGAAGAAGGAAGGATTTTGTTTTTGTTTTTGGCAATTGGGGTTAAGTGACTTGCCCAGGGTCACACAGCTAGTAAGTGTTAAGTGTTTAGCCTGAGGCCAGATTTGAACTCAGGACCTCCTGACTTTAGGGCTAGTGCTCTGTCCACTGCACCACCTAGCTGCCCCAACTCTGACTAATTTCAAGATATTTTACTAACTTTCTAGAACCTTCTAGATATAAACCTTCTTTTATAAACGGGACAGAGCTATAGGAACAGATTTCCTGAGTTCTTGTTTCCTACTGTAGTTGTCCTTTCATTATAACATTTTGTCTCTTCAATTTAATAATATCCAATAAACCTGAAAATCTAAAGTACATTAACATGTACAGTATATAAATGAAATTATGTCTTTTGCTTCAAGTGTTAGCAGAAACCATTTAAGAAAAAGCTAGCACATTTCCTGTTAGTAAAGAAAATAGTATTATTACTCACATGGCTATTTGCTTGGGGCTGATTCCTATAACTTTTCATTATGTCTTGAAAAGTTCTTTCTTCTTTTGTTACCTAAGAAAAAGAAAACTGTATTTCTCAACTATTATTGAAAAAATAATGAGAATGACCAAAAACTAAAATAGGTATTTAAATTGATCATCCATAAAAGCATTAACTTTAAGGACAATAAACAATTTAATTAGGGTTCTCTTATTTTAAAGAATAGGTTCCCAAAATCTATATATATCAACAACAACAAAGCAGAGGCAAATTTACTATCCCTTTACTGAATATAAACCTTCATAGATCTGAGAGAACATGAGACCTCTGGTCATAACCGAATTGTTTAAGTTTCCTGTTTTATTAGTGTTAAGCACTTTTTAAAAAGTGAATTAAGTACACACCAAAAGTTAGAATATATTTCAGTGTTAAAACAAGATTTTCTACACCAGGATTTGGTTTCTATTACTTCAAACTGATGTTTTGATGCTTATAGAACAGTAACTGTAAATTTCATGTAATTCTTATAGAAGAAAATTGGAGCACTTGGCTCAAAGGGAGAAAAATAGATTAATGTTCAGAAATGGAATCCTTTCTATACATTCTAGTTTTATCATGTGAACTCAAGTTATTCTTCCCTTCAATAGCACTAGAAATCACCACTAAAGTTATTTTCCTCCATGAAGAGTTAGAAGTGGTAACATATGTCTATTATTTGAGGAAGGCTGTTAATTATTTTTCCAAATCTTTTATCCAAAACTCTCATTTCTTTTCCAGGACTTTCCTCTAGCATTCTCAATTTGTTTAAAATGTTATTTAGAAATTTTGAGGCCAAGATGTATTTTCTTTGAGGCTTTCTTTATAGATGTTTTGCAATTAATCTCTTCTGGGTTTATGCTTTAGGTATTTCTAATAATGTAATACCTCTTTATCATGCAGTGTTTTTGTTTACTCATTCTTCCAGCCATATTTACTGAATAGAGACTTTGTGTTATGGCCAGGGTCTGTGTACTTCTGGAAGGAATGCCAGGGCTTTGTAAAATCCTGCCCTGTTTTATCTGGGGTCCTGCCACTGCATTCTCTGGGTATATAATATTATATTCTTCAAAGATCACAGGTTGGATGAGGTCAGCATATTACACAGTTTCAGCAAGTCTGATCTAAGGCATGTTCTGCTTACTGTCGTCTTGGACTAAGCTTTCCAGGCTCTTGACCCTGGTTTAGGCCTAGGCAACACAATTGCAGATTTGCTTCTGGGTAGCACTCAAGAATGTAATAGCCCCTGTTAGTTAGCTAGAAAGCTTCTTCAGATTCAAAGTAACAGAGCTATGGGTCAATACTTGGTTCTATAGCCTCTGTCCTGGTCACTCATCCTTGGCCCAAGTGCTAGAACCAGCTCCAGGGTCAGAACAATAGAGCTGCCAGACCAGCCCTGGTCTGTGTCTAGGGACTGAATCTAAGTTCTCACCCTCGGGCCAAAGCAATACAGATGCCAACAAACTGTATGCCAGCTTCTCACTTTGTCACTTGCCTGGTCATTTGACAAATTTGTTGTCTTGGGCTAGAAAAATGATTCACTGTGGTTTCTTCTTAGATTTCTTGATCATTACTCCATCTGGCCCACTTCTTAGATCTTTGTTGGAACAACTCTGAGGAAAGCTGGACTGCATGACTTCTTCCTACTCTACTTTTTGCTGGTGAGAAAAACATTTTGTCCTTAGTATCCTCCTCTGCTAAAGCTGAGATTGGACTAGATGATTTCAAAGGGTCCTTACAGATCTATCAGTCTATAATTATTTCGTGTGCAGAGAAGTTTTCATTTCTAGAGTGGCTATTCTTACTATGTGGAAAGAATGATACTTCTGGAACCTTGAATAGAACAAGGGAAATAAAGATAGCAATAACTGGAATTCACTACTTGCCCAACAAAGGCAAGTCACTTGGTCTGTAAAGGGGAAGACTAATACAGGATCCAGTTCATACCTAAAGTGAAGCCAATATGGATAAAAACTACTTTCCCAAACCAATATATTACCTTTGCCATAATGTAAAAAGCACAAAGAAGAAGCTGATCCAAATGTCTGTCTTTCATTAGATCAAAGCAATTCACTAGTGTGAACTCAAAACATGTCCATATCTTCCTTCTCAAGTCATTGGAAATATCCAGTTTTAAGCACAAATCACGTAAGCGTACACTTGCCAAATGATAGACCTAAGATGGAATAAAGAACAATATATTAAGCACAAAGCCAAGTGAATCTTTTTTCTAAAAATAAGTGTTATTGATATCTTTGTTTTTATATCATATTCATTTCTGGAAACAATTTCCCCTACCTTCTACTGAAATGAGTTTGCCCTTAAAACAAAAAAAAAAACAGTTAAGCAAAACTGCACAACAGTGAGCACTGTCTGACAGTATATATGATATTCCATACCCACAGTCCCTTGTTTACCCAAAAGAGGATCACGATTCATCATTACAATTAACTAAATATTAAAGTTAAGTGATTCTTGAACACATATATTTGTATATGTTAAAAAGGCCATATACAATTATTATGGGAACATGGCTCAAGAATGTGAAAATCCTTAGGCACTACCTTAAATAAAATCAGGCTGGGTAAATAAGCAACCCTGAAAAATTTAATTCAGAACATTAGTCCTTTGGACCATTAACATTTGTAAATCATAATCGACAATACACTTGTAAGCAAGCATACGTGGTAAAAACACTTTAAAAATATCTGCAGGGCAATGCAAGCAACCATATAAAATGAAAAGAATCAAAATGTTTGACTACCTTCAAAACATTATGAAATTATAGATCCTTAAAGTAGTGAAGTGTCACACTGAAAAAGGATGACTATGTAATCATGACTTGAGTTTAACATATAGAAAGTAATTTGCTCATCTTACCCTAAGGATTAATTAGTCCAAGTACTGTGTCTGATTTGGACGGCCCCAACTTTTGAAATACAGAACAAAAATAACAACCCATAAAAAAACAAATTAAAAAAAAGGATGGGGGCAGCTAGGTGGCACAGCAGATAGAGCACTGGCCCTGGATTCAGGAGGACCTGAGTTCAAATCCGGCCTCAGAGACATAACACTTACTAGTTGTGTGACCCTGGGCATTGCCTAGCCAAAAAAAAAAAAAAAAAGATGAGGAAAATGTTACAGCTTTGGAAGGATTAAAAGAAGTTAGGTTTATTTGATGTGGAAGAGCTGAAGACAATACTCTTTCAATGATGAAGATGCTTATCAGCTACTCCTAACTTAGTGCAGCAAACTATAGGAATTAAACTGAAATTTACACCGAGATTAACTATAAAGGGAATTTTTGAGAGTTGTGATTATTAAGTGCTGAAATAGGTTGCCAAAGGGAAATGGTCCCTTGAGAGTCTTAAGAATAGGGGAATCATCTAGTTGTGGGGTATATTAAATGGCCATCTGAGGTCCCTTCAGTTCTAGAATCCTATACAAAATGTACCCTGATTGGCTAAAAACCTACATAAACTGCTTAACATAGCAGATGATAAAAGCAGCTTTTTATTATTAAGTAAAAATAATAAACCAAAAGAAGTCAATGAAGGAAATAATTGCTTAACAACTTCAGAGGTGAACCATGATTCATTAGGACTCTGGTTTTTGATATGTCAAATAGAAAGAATAGAAATGAATAGAAAGAAGTATTTTATGAATCCTTATTTTCCCCACATGGAAACATTTACCTTCCTATAAAACAGTGCTAGGGATCCCGTTCTTTTTGGTCGACCTACTCCAGTGTGATGTATTTCTAGAGCTTTTGTTGCATGGGACTGTTTTGGAGAAGTACCACTTAATGACTGAGCAGTAATTGGTATTTGCACAGGGCTCTCCACTCTAGATTGCTCACTTGCATTCACTGGCATAGGTATCACTGTGATCCCTCCTGTTTCAGTGGCAATACCTGGAAAACAAAAGGACAAGTGCTCAATTTTGGAAATGAACTGTATATGTAATAACATACACACATGGAAAATTATATACAGGAAAATCAAATGACTTACCCAGTGTCACATAGCTAATTAATGGCAAAACCACAAAACAATTTAACAATCATTCTGCAAAAAAAATTTTCAGATTATCATTCTGGTGCTCCTTCTACCACACCATGCTACTTACTGGATTAGCCTGACAAACTTGTGGCCTACAGAGATAGTGGAGAGCACAGCAGGGTTTTCACAGAATTATCAAGATGGAAGGGATCTTGAGAGATTATCTAGTCCTCTCCTCTGAAGAATTAATCATTTCCACAAGATCCCCAATAAGTGGTTAATTAATTTCCACCTGAATATCTCCTGAAACAGCTCACCCCATTTTCATTATAAGATAAAAAAGACTACCTTCATTTGCCTAATGGGATACTACCAATTTGAATACATACTCCAAGGAATATCAGTGGCATTATCTACCTTATAAAACACTTAGGGAAAAAGTGGCAGACACTATAAATTATTCTGAAGTTTTGATCTACCTAGATCATTCAGTTGTTTAGGAAGACAGAGAGACAGAGAGACAAACACACACACACACGTAACACACATACACAGAAAGATTAGTGACAAAAGATCAAGTTAAAGCTGTGGGCTTAAAATTTTCTAACAAGTATCAGTTCTGAAAAGCAGTAGTGTCAAATTTAAACAGAAACAGAGGGCTACTAATCCATATGTAAGGATCCCTGCTGGCCACATATTGATTAGTTTTAAAATGTAATGTTATATATGTTTTATTGTATTTTTTTGTCAAATATTTTCCAAGTATGTTTAAATTTGATTTGGGCCGCATTTAAGAGTGTTTCAGGTTATATGTATGACATCTCTGCTGTAAAGCATGTATTAGGACACATGATATCCAAATGCAGATATGGCAGATGGGGGAAATGGGTTAAGTACTAACCAAGAGAAAACAGAGCGTCTGAATCACACAACAAGGTTCAAAAAGTTACTGTAAATTCAAGATGCTTTTGGGGTTCAGTGAATGTTACTGCAAGTGTTTGGAGAATTATGCCATTATCACAAAATCACAAAGTAAGTATGTACATGGATGCCATGTTAAGAAGCAAAAGGGAAAAGGTACAGCCCAAATGATGATTGGTGAATAATTCTCATTCTTCATGAAAACACAGACTGTTAGCAAGTTGAAAGGTATCTTAGAGATCATTTGTTGCAATAATTCAGTTGGCCAATGAGAAACCTAAAAACCAGAGAGTAGAAGGGACTCCTACTCATCTGGGAAAAGATTAACATGACCATATGTGAACACCTGTGGTATTAGAAACAACTTGGAATTGCTTAATTAAATTGTTTAAAGAAACAAAAAACCTTAGAACATTCATTTAATCCTCTTTGAGGCCTCTCCATCTTTAAGGCATAACTAAATTCTGTGGAACCCTACTTCTACCTCATCAGAAAGATATATAGAGGGAATGCTGTAGAACAAATATGAATTTGAGGAACTGTAAACAAGAGTTAACTGACCAAAGAGAAACCTTCAGCTAAAATCATGAAGTCTGTACTTTTAAAGTTAAAAAAGAAAAAGAAAAAAAGCAATGAAGGAAAAGGCCTTGAGAGGGGGAAAAAAAACCAGGGGACAAGAGCTTCAGCTCAAACAAGACAAAAGGCTCTAAGACATTTAGCACTGACTAGATTGGAACAAAATGGAAAGAGGACTACACTAATGCAGGGTTTCCACTCCTCCATGCTCTATGTCCCTGGTTACAAGCCCTCCCTCAATCCTCAAATGCTGTCACCTCAATGATGTTCTTGCTTATTGTACCTGTAGACAGAGAAGCACATAGATCTTCTCACTGACCCAATCTCTGTGGTGGGAGTACTTAGTTGTTTCAGCTGTTTGTGACTCTTTGTGACACTATGTGAGGTTTTCTTGGCAAAAATATTGGAGTGGTTTGCCATTTCATTCTCCAGCTCATTTTACAGATGAGGAAAATGAAGCAAACAGAGTTAAGTGACTTGCTCAGGGTCACGTAGCTAGTTAGTGTCTGAAGCCAGTTTTGAACTCGCGTCTTACTCACTCTAGGCCTGGCACTCTTATCTACTGTGCCACCTAGCTGCCCATAAGTCTTTGTGATAAAGCTAGTCTATCTCAGTGATGGCTTAGTAAGCAAGGCAGCTAAGATCTACTGATCATCAATGAAATAAAAGAATTAAAAGATTTCAAATGTGATGGAAGGACTGTTGGGATTATTTTTAGATGTTCTTCATACATTTTACAAACAGTTTTCACACATTCATTTATTCATTCATCTTTAGCACAAATTCTGCCTTCTGGCCCCTGGTGTGCTGTGCCAGCAAAATAGTGTGAGACACTTGCACACAAGCTAAGTCCTTTAGTTCACTTTTTTTGCTCCCTTTCTCTTGGTAGCCAAGGCTTGTTTCTATAATAATTCTAGCACCCAATGGATTTTAACCTCTACTAAACTATATGAACTTGACAGCTTATAATTCCTAAATTAAATAAGTACCAACCTATGAACCACCTGGCCTCTTAGACCATGAGTAAAGGGAATCTATATTTAACAGTGTTCTTAGGCTTGAGAGATACAAGACTGCTTAACAATTTTTGATAACATTTTTCTTTTTAGGCTTAACGACAAAAGCGATGCTTCAGGTACATGGATGCTCGCTAGGGCACTAATGACCCAAAAACGAACAAGATCAAGCTATGATGACTATTGCCACCCTCTTGATGAGGCTATGGAAAACAGATCTGCCCAATGAGAGGATGGGAGTGAAAAAATCAGGGCTCTAGATTCTGATTCCTGGTACTCCTCTCATTCCCTAGAATCCCTTGTCTGAAGAATTTTATGGATACAGTTAAAAAGATGATACTTTTTCCCTTCTGTTTTTTATTTTTTGATAAAATAGGTTAAAGTGCTGAGTGTGTGTGCACACATACTGTATATATTTACTAAAATATAGTAGACTAAAAATATTGATGAATATCACTCATTTTAAAATGAAGGAGAATGTTTTGCTAAAACTACTTAGATGGTTCAAATAGGAAATAAGGAATTCAGCTTTCTACAAGAAGCAAATTAAAAGAATTTTGGGGGGTTAATATCATAGAAGACAAACACATTTTTTCACAATCTACTTTTTCCCCTAGTAGAAAGCCAGCTAAATACATGTTACCTAACTGTGTGAGGAATACTTGTTCTGGAGTCTGAGGAATTGGGATCTATCCAAGCTCTGCTCTTCACCACCTTAATGACTCTGGTTAAGTCTATCAATAATCTCACTGGAACTCTGCCTCCTTTTTTGTAAAATAAGGGATCTCCAAGATCCCTTCCAGCTCCAAAAACCCCGGAGACATTCAAGAGAATAATTTTAACAATATTAGCATGTTTCAATTTAGGGTACCATAGTATCATACACAATAGAGTTGGAAAGAGCTGGAAGCCAGTAAGTGCAACCCTCCCACATCTTTTTCAGGAAAACCAAGGACTACAAAGGTGAAATAACCTAGTTGAGTCCAGGAACACAGCCAATAACTGGCTTTCTCAAAGTATTTTTGATACCATTGAGAGAACACTATACTGGGCTGAATGGACCACTTCTGATTTAGTGAGTCATTTCTCATTCTTAACTCAAAGTAAGGTAAATTTAGAAAGGTTTTACCATGCAATGGAATTGTAACTTTTTGTCCTGTTGTTCCTGCTACTACAGCTGGTGCCACAGTTAGAAGACTCTGTCCAGGTAAAACAGAGACATTTTCAGCAATAATACTTGAAGATGAAGCAATTTTCAACTTGGTTCCTTCTGTTGCAGTTTTGTCTACAAACATTTTTGAAGAAGTATCCTCTCCAAAAAGTCTTCTCTTCGCACTTCCTGCAGTAGGAGAACTGTAGCGCTCATGAACAGATATCGGAGATAATGGCTGCATATCTAAACACAGAAAAAACAAATGTGAAACAGTTTGAGACATTCGAATACATTTATCCAGTGTGTCCCTGACTGCCTCCTTGAGTAATTATCCATCTATGGGGATGAGGCATGAAGCATAGGAAACACAGCGACAGCAGGATACGATGAGGATTGGGTTGAAGAGATACTCTGATCTTTACTCTCTCCATCTTTCCTGTCAATTACTAGGAAAGGAAAATCAAAGAAAGAAAAGGGTCAGCCTGAACTTAGTTTAAGCCCTTCCTAATTGTCAACAGGCAATCACAACTTCATCAAACTTACGTGAAAAAGTAGGTTTATTACAAGAGAAATGAACATGTGTGTGGAACCCTAAGCATGTGCAGAGTTCACAATTCAAACAAAAGCGTGCATATTTATGAAAGTGCACCAAAAAGGAGGAGAAACCGAAATCTCCACCTAAATGGGAGTGGCAGGGGAGGATAAATCATGAATAATTAAGACGGCAATAGCAGCATTGTTTTCCCTTGGGAATTGCTAGACTATGAAGATATGATGGTTGCCTTGTCTATGAGGGTCCCAGCTGCACAAGCAGCTTCTCAGTCTAGTGCAGACTGACTGGTGCCTGTCTTGACTTCCAAGGACACACAAGAGTTCAGCTTGGGGTGCAAACAACAAATTAAGTCAGCTTGGAGTGGGGTAAAGGCCAGCTTCATCCTTGACATGTTCAGGGCCTCTTGCATACTCTGGGTCCAGTGTTTCTAGAACACGTGGCAACTCAAAGGACAAGTTCAAGGGACGCGTTAACACCATCTGCTCCTGAGGTCAATCAACCAGAAACTATTAAGCACCAACTACAAACCCAGCACTGGTGATACAAAGTCAAAAACAAAACAGTTCCCTCCCTCAAATACCTTAGAGTCTATCAAGAGAAACAAGTTATACGCATTTAAGTAAAAACAAAGTAAATGCAAGGCAGTTTCAGTAGAGAAGGCACTAACAGTTGAGGAGATCAGAAAAGGCTTAATATAAGAGGTAGTGCTTGAACTGAATTCTGAAGGGAGCTCCTAACTACGGTGCATCAGGAAAATTCTTGCTATAACTCACAAGGCGGACAAAGGGAGCTATGACTGAAATACTCAGTCACCCTGTTTTTTTCCTGAAGAGATGGTAGTTTCATGTGGTATTGGAATATATAAGATCTCTCCAAAGAGCAGAAGAAAGGTAAAGGATGAGTGACTAGAGAACATGCACAATTGCTTGAGTGGAAGCTCTGTGTTAGTGGGAAGAGGGTCAATTCAAGGGCAGTATTAGTAATGAAAAAAAAGTATAGTCCATGACACTTTAAAAAAAAAAAAGGCATTTGCAAATATGCCTAAAAGAATTATGTGTCACTCCTTTTTTATATATTTCCTGGTGAGAAACTGGGATGGGGGGAAGACCAATTTTACAAGAAAAATTTGTTATATATTTATATAACTTTAGCTAAAATATTATAAAAATTGCCTCAGCTCCTTGGAGTACCAATCAATTCTGGGACTGAGAAACGGCATGAATTTACCACTATCCACACTTTCCAGTCGATTCCCAGCACTTGTAAATTTACTTCTATAGGATTTGGAGGATGGAAGTGATCCCTACTAAAGCTCCCTGCATTCCCACAAGGCTCCTTGATACATCAGGTTCACGCTGAAGCTGTTAAAAAGTATGAATGATACCCATGACACTGTGCTACTTATATCCCAACCAGAGCTGTGGGCTCAGTTGAAAAATCTGGAGACAGACAAGGACAGGCACTCTGTGATCCCCTGTTGCTGTGGCGGCACCCAGCAGGAGGCTATTAGCAGAAGCTGCCTAACTAGCAGCCAGGTGTCTGCAAGGCAGCCGATCATTTGAGTCTGTAAGTGTCTTGAGCTGGTAAAGTGGCCATCTGCATGGCCTCAAGACTCTTGAGTTATGAAATAATTAGTGCAATGCAATTGTTTATTTGCTAAATCATCTGACAGACAACTGAAATGAAAATACAAAGTTTTCAAAATCCCATTACAGAAGTATAAACAATGCAAGAGAATACAAAATTAAAAGATTCACTGTTTACTTGGAACCTCCAAACAAAATGATAAATTTATAATTATTAAGAATTCTTAAAAATTAAGGTATTAATATTGACAGACTTGGAAAAATAGAATTTTCTAGTTAACTTTCCATTTAAAAGCTATGTATGGTTAGAAAGTTTTATTCTATTCTTATATGGCTGAAGTTATGCCCATAGGATTTGTTTGACTATTGAATATTTAGAGCTAAAATGGAATTTTTATTAATTGAGCAAGAAAAGCTACAGATTCAACCATAAAAATGATCATCACACATTAAAAGACTGAGGCAAACCTCTAAGTCAGAAGAGCAAGATGTAGATCATACAAAGAGATGGTTTAATATTATCAACTTTTCCTATTTAATAAAAAATATCATAGGTCTTTATTCAAGCTCTTTGTTTACATCCCTAATAAGTGCATATTTTTTAATGATTTATTAGTAAAATCTACAACTCTAACAGTGAGAAAAGCTATCTTAGTTCCCTTCTCATTATTATTTAACCTTAAGACATATCACCTTGAACCTACCCCGTCGAAGATTCCCACTGTCGGTGCGAACTTCTTTTACACGAGGGTGCACTATGGGAGACAATGGCATCATTGGGAGATGACCTTGAACATTTCCCGTCTCCAAGTTATTAGGAAATATGACCTATAAAAACCCCAAACAAAAATCTGTTTAGGATAAATTCTAAGAGGCAAGAATCACTCCCTCAAATGATTTTTTTTTGCTTAAATCCTTTCCATTTTCTCTAAGTCTCCCTCTGTGGGTATGCTGAGGAATTCTGAAAACTGGGCAGAATCCATATCTAGCACAAAGATCCCAAAACATGTGAGATTTTGAAGAAGTCAAGTTGCTTCCAAACTCAGAGTAATGGTGATGGAGGCATGAGCCTCCCATAGTCAAGCAAACAGGGGAGATTCCAAAAAAGGAAAATGGAAATAGATGGAATCCAGTGAAAAGCAAAATAAAAATGAAAGGAGAGAAAAGAAAAAGGAATATCATAAAGAAGAAATGAGCTATTAAGTGTCATAAAATAACTACAAAATGTGTACTTTGCATATGACCATATGGTGTGTATAATAAAAATAGTATATTAATGAAGCTTATAAAGTGAACTGATACTCCTTTTATAATCTATAAACAAAACGGATGAAGAATTACTATTGTGCAATCTATGACACACTGCTAGATGGATACCCCACTGAATTAGTCCACCAGTACATCTCTCCCTTGGCCAAACAATACAGATGCACAATTTACTGAGAACAGAAGTGAATGGGAGGGAAAGGAACGAGCATTTATTAAGTGCCTACTATATGCCAAGCATTATTATCTCATTTGATCCTCACAACCCTGGGAGTAAGTGCTATTATGATCACCATTTTAGACATGAGGAAACTGAGGCAGACAGAGGTTGACTGACTTGCCCATGGTCACACAGCTGGTAAGTGTCTGAAGCCACATCTGAATTCAGGCTTTCTTGACCCCAGGCCAGGATCTCTCCATGGCACCTCCTCATGAGCTCAATGACTTTTGGGAAATTGCACAGAGCTTTCAAAGACCCTAAGCTGCAGTCTACTATGAGAATTCATGTTTTCAGCACTGATTTTACCCTTTTGATTTATAGCTGTGAAACACAGGACACCACAATATTTAAAGAACAAGAACTGCATATGGCCCACAAGGCAATGGGAAAATGCAGAAAAAGCATAAGGAAGGTGCAGCAGATTATGAATAAAGACTCACATACTGGAAGTGATGCGAAAGACAGGAGACTGTAAAAGGAGATGGGCTGATCTTATGGACAATGTTGTGCTGGAATTCATTCTATTTCAAGCCAGGAGGAAGGCCTCCAACAAACTGTGCAGAATCATAGAAAGACATAGAAAGGAATTTCACAGAATGAGGTACTGGATCCACTAAAGCATCAATGTCTAACATGACAAAGTACACGTTAAGTGCTTGCTTTGATGCATGGAGAGAGAGGCACAAAGTTAAATGAGACAGTCCACCACCCAGGAGAGACAAAGGACACATGCAAATATCCATAACATTATTAGACATGACGACTACATAGAGAGAGGTGTAAACAAAGGCCATAGGAGGTCTGAGGGTGGGAGGAAAGGAAAGGAAGAAGCTAAAATCAAGGAAGACTTGAAGTGAATAAGCATTTATTAAGCATCAACTATGGGCTAGGCACTGTGCTAAGTACTTTACAGGTATTGTCTCACTTGATCCTCACAACAACCCTGTGAGGTAGATTATTATTATTATTATTATTATTATCCCCATTTTACAGTTAAGGAAACTGAAGCAGATAGAAGTTAAGTGACTTGCCTAGGGTCATATAGCTAGGAAGTATCTGAGGCAGGGTTTGAACTCAGGACTTTCTGATTTGGGGCCCAGCACTCTTATCTAATTGCACCACCTTGCTGACTCTTTCTAGAGAAAGCAATGAGGTAGCTGGGTGGATAAAGCACTAAATCTAGAGTCAAGAAGACCTGAGTTCAAGTCCAGACTCAGACACTTATTTATTGTGTGACCCTGGGCAAAACACAAAACCAATACAGCCAAAATCTGAAGGAAAACAGGTAACTGGGGAAAAAAATTCTGTAGCAAGTTTCTCTGATAAAGGCCTCACTTCTCAAATATATAGGGAACTGAGCCAAATCTGTAAAATAAGTGCTATTCCCCAGTTGATAAATGGTCAAAGAATATCAACAGGCAATTTTCAAAAGAAAAGAAAATCAAAGCTATCAATAGTCACATGTAAAAAAATGTTCTATAATCACTATTGATTAGAGAAATGCAAATTAAAACAACTCTGAGATACCACCTCACACCTATCAGACTGGCTACTATGACAGAAAAGAAAAATAAAAAATGATGGAAGGGGATGTGGAAAAATTGGGACTCTAATGCACTGTTGGTAGAGTTGTGAATTGTTCAACCATTCCGGGGAACAATCTGGTACTATGGCCAAGGGTCAGGATAGGAGCCTTTGACTAAGCATTACCACTACTAGGTCTGATCACAGAGATCAGAGAAAAAGGAAAAGGACCCACATGTACAAAAATATTAATAGCAGCTCTTTTTGTAGTGGCCAAGAATTGGCAATGGAAGAGATGCCCATTAATCGGGGAATGACTGAGCGAGTTGGGGCACATGATGATGATGAAGTACCATTGTGCTATAAGAAGACAAGGGGAGTGGTTTCAGAAAAAACATGGCAAGATTTATATAAACTGATGTAAAGTGAAGTGAGAACCACCAGGAGATCGTTGTGCACAGTAACAGCAATGTTGTAATGATGACCAAATGCGTAAGACTTGGCTACCCTATCAATCCAATGATACAAGACAACTCCGAAGCAATCATGAGGAAAAATACTATCTATCTCCAGAGAGAGAGAACTGATGAACTCTGAAATATAAGCAAACTGAAGTATGATTTTCTCACTTTTTTTTTTTTGCTTTTTTTTGGTGATATGGCTAATATGTTTTGCATGATTTCACATGTATCATTGATATCATTTTGCTTGCCTTCTCTGTAGATGAGGTATGCATGGAAGGGGGGAGAGAATTTGAAACTCAAAAGAAAGTTAAAAAGAAAAGAATTTCAAAAATAAATAACAAATTAAAGAAACAAAAAAAAAACTAAGATAATATTTGTAAAGTGCTATTCAAACCTTAAAGTGCTACATAAATGCTAGAGATCATTACTATTAGTATTATTAATTTAAACTTTAGAATGGATAGTGTTTTAATAGGTAAAAATAGTGAGGGAGGGTAATTCCAGAAATAAAGAATGGGATAAGCAAAAGCACAAACATGTAATGTTACCCAGCCTTGCCCTAACTCACTTCTTCACAGGTAGGAACTTTGTTTTCAGAAACGTGGAGAGCATCCCACAATGCAGAATCATTGCTCCATGCTAAACTTTCTAGAATTTGTTCTTCAATGCTGTTAAGGTGCTTTATGGTATCTCTTGATAGTCCTTCCTCTGATCGAATCAGTACTTCAATGACCTAAAAGAAAGATATTACATATTTAGAGAAGAAAAACATGGCCTCAGGGATGATACAGCTGATTTATCACTATATTTATTTAGCACTAGACCCAAAGTCAGGAAGATCTGTGTTCAAATCCAGCCTCATTCTTCCTAGCTGTGTGACCCTGGACAAGTCATTTAATTACTTTCTGCCTCAGTTTTCTCATCTGTAAAATGGGGATAATAGCCTTTTCTTTCAACCCTTTCTTCCAGGGTTGTTGTGAAGTTAAAATAAGGTATTTGTTAAGCATTTAGCAAACGTTAAAGTTCTATATAAATGTGATAATTATAATTATAGTTATAATAATAATTATTGTGCTAGGCTGAGTTTAGGTGTATTATAGTCTTTGCCACTGACTTACTGTATCATAAAGAATATGTTTTTTCTAGAAGCAGCATGCCAAAGGTGAAATAACAGAGATTTTCAGGAGACTGCCCCTGTGTGATTTTGAACAAGTTGATTGACCACTCTAAGCCTTAGTTTCCTCATTCCCTAAAATGATCAAAATACTTGCACAGCCCACCTCACTTGGTTGAGAAAAAACTGCTTTATATACTAAAAAGTTCTTTATAAATGTGAGCTATTTTACTACAAACCACACTTTTGCTATTTATTTAAAAAAAGAAAACTGTTACAAAACATCTTTCCTTTGAAGAAATCAAAGCATTTCCACATATTTTCTCATTAATCTTCAAAACATTCTTATTTTACACATGGAAAACTTAGGCACAAAGAGTTAAATGGATTTGTGCAATGTTATAATGTAGAACCCAGGTAAGATGATCAAGGATCTAGAAGTGAAAGAGACCTTAGTAAAGTCAACTTTCTCATTTTATTTTTTAAACTTTTAATATTACTTTTTGTTCTTACACCACAGTCATTTCCTGACATAACCTCTCCAGTAAAAAGATCATCACCCTCCCATCCCCTGCTGTCCTTGTAACAAAGAAAAACAGTTAAGCAAAGCTAATAGACAGCAGAACTGCATCTGAAAGCATATCCAATATTCTGCTCCCATCTCTCTATGGAGAAGAGGGAAATTTATTTCTTCATTTGTTCTCCTGGGCCAAGACTGGTATTACAATCAACTAGAGTTATGATGCTTTGTGGTATTATTCTCATTTACATAACTGTGGTCTTTTTACATGTTGTTCTCCACCCTTTCATTTTACAGATGGATAAAACTAAGGCCGAGAGAGGCTAAGTGATTTGCCCAAAGCGATCTAACAAAAGCAGGAGATGAATCCAGACTGTAACTCCAGAGACTGTTCTTTCCTTTGGATCACAACATCATGATTCCCAGCCCAAATGATGTTCTTCCAACTATCCTACTCCACAGTAATAACAGGAAATACAGTATTTAAAAGGAATTTTACTTTTTTGATGAAATTAGTTATTACTGTTGCAGTGGATATCACTGACATATAATTTGTCATTCCTCAGGTTGGCCATTTCTTCTTTTGGTCACAGTGATTCACAAAATGGAATAGCAGAGGAGTTATCAGCAGACAGGCATATATCATATAATGTACGGATGGAACATCTACACCAATAATATTACAGACCCTCCTAAATATCTAATTAGACATTACCTGAACTTAGTCCAAAGGGAAAAGATAACATCACACTGACATATACATCAGTCTTCCCCTGGGGCTGGAAAAAATTGCTGCTTAGCAAATTAGATTTCCACTGAAAAAAATTAATCTAATTATATTCAGTCAACAATTTATAAACAGAAAAAATCCCAATGAAAAAATTATTTTCTATCATTTTAACTTGGGCACAATTTAGGAGGGTGAAAACTAAAAACATATTTTTCTATTAGCTTGAAAACAGCATTGATGAGAAAACATTAATTAAAGGTCAATAACTTCAAAACTATATAATAGTAGTACCTAAGTGTGGCTATTGGCCATAATACTTTTTTGGATGGTGAAAATGATGGAGTGTATAGTAACAATTTCTGCATTTTACAAAAGAAAATTAATAAAATTTGTTTTAATAGCAAAAAAATAACATTCCTGACAATAATAAGCCAATAAGTTTGAAGTAACTCAAACCCTGAACAAACACATATTTAGGCATTATAGTCTCATTAACCAATGCCATTAGGCAAAAAAGGAATTTTAGAGCTACTGAGTATATTTTATTCCTTATACTAGGTAGATCAGTACTATGTCATAGTACTATATCATATTGTATCATATTCTACAAATAAGACTATCAAACTAAGTTTTTTTAACAGTTTTTTTTTTTTGGTAAGGCAATTGGGGTTAAGTGACTTGCCCAAGGTCACATAGCTAGTACGTGTCAAGTGTTTGGTCTGAGGCCAGATTTGAACTCAGGTCCTCCTGACTTCAGGGCCGGTGCTCTATCCATTGCACCACCTAGCTGCCCCCCCCCCACCTTTTTTTAAAATAAAATGCTGTTTGACTTTCTTTTTATTTATTTATATTTTATTTTTAGGCAATTGGGGTTAAGTGACCTGACCAGGGTCACACAGCTAGTAAGTGTCAAGTCTTTGGTCTGAGGCCGGATTTGAACTCAGGTCCTCCTGACTTCAAGGCCGGTGCTCTATCCACTGCACCACCTAGCTGCCCCCCTGCCTTTTTTTAAAATAAAATGCTGTTTGACTTTCTTTTTATTTATTTATTTTTTATTTTTAGGCAATTGGGGTTAAGTGACCTGCCCAGGGTCACACAGCTAGTAAGTGTCAAGTGTTTGGTCTGAGGCTGGATTTGAACTCAGGTCCTCCTGACTTCAAGGCTGGTGCTCTATCCACTGCGCCACCTAGCTGCCCCATTAACATAGTTTTGGGTAGTTCACTGATACCTGGCCCTTTTACTACTTGTCCCCAATCCCCACCTTACCACCTCCAAAAGCATACATTTTTTTCCTAATCTAAGAAGACTTGAGAAAAGTGAGTTTTATTGCCTTTCATTCAAAATTATAATTCTAGAAAGTCTTCATATATCCCAAGCTTCATATTAAGGTAATTTCAAGTAATTTTATTTATATAAGAACCTTAAGACAATAAAAAGATTCAGTTTGTATAAGACTGAAAAGTTCACTTAAAAAACCCAGACCTTTATGCATACAAACTTCCTGAATATCCTACAAAATGTTGGTAAAAGATCAATTACATACACATGTATATGTGTGTATGTATATGCACATATACATATATCTGTATGGATATATGTCTGTGTATCCCTAATGAGCTTACTAATCTATGAGAGAGGCTGCTGTAATCTAGTGGTAAGAGCACTGGGTTTAGCATTAGAAGCCAGAGGCCCAACCCCAGCTCAGAAACTTATTAGCTCTGGGGCTCTGGCTAACCATAGAACTCCCTAAGCTTTATGTTTCTAGGTCACTAATGGAAATCAATATGGAACCTTTCCTCAGCACCAAAATAAGTACAATGTATGGAAATAATGCCAGGTATCCCACGATTGGAAATTGTTTTCATCTCACCTTATAAAAGTAAAACGGACTTAGATCAAGAACTTCAATGATCCAGGGAAAACTACGAGGTGAGCTATACGCAAACAACACAATTTCCAAACAGCAAGCCATCAAAGAACGATGAAATATATCCTGCTCCAAAAGAACCTTTAAAAAAACGAAAGGTAGTTTAGTTCACCTTAATGCCTTGATTTTTTGAGATTAAGGTTATAGAAATTAAGAAATTATAGAAATTAATTATATTAAGGTTACAGAAATCAAACAAAGAATTTATCTAAATTACATTGAAATGCTAAAACAATAAATATACAAGTTCATGAAGAGGCTAAAAGTTACCAGATTAATATCTAATTTAATTTCATGAAGGCACCTCAAATGTCAATGAAACATCAAAATTCAGAAAAAGGAAAGCCCTTTAATACAAACGTAAGTCATATCATCATTATCACTGTCATCATCATCATCATCATCATGAACACCAGTTATCACACTTTGCTATAGAAGGTGTGGGACACATGGGAATAGGAGTGATCAGAAGAGATATCCTAGAACTTGCTTTTTTGAAAGTGTCACTGGTATCAGAATGAATCTGATCATATAAAGCTATCACAAAAATAGAGTGACATATACATGACTAATGGCATGCCCAACTAGGTAATATTAAATTGTTGCTTTCTTAAAAAAATATTTTTGAATTAAAGGACTTATGGTTTTCTCTATCCACAAAGTCCTCAACATTTTCTTCTACATCACAAATTGTGGCTCTTTTCTTATTGACTTGACCCTACTCTCCTTACTTACACTATTTGTTAGAGTATGAAAGAGAATACCTAACCATTTCAAGAATTCAAAGCAATCAAAGAGAACAGATTTGTGCTTAATGAATCAAATATTAATCTACTTACAGACATGTCCATTCCATGAAGTCTTCGTGTTTCCTGAACCATTATGGTCTCTAATATTTTATAGTATAAGATCTCTGCCAATTTTAATCGGTTTACAGCAAAATCTACAATAGAAACAAAAGGGCATATGCTAATAAAAATCAATAGTTAATAAGTATCCAGGAGAGGAAGTTGGTTATAACGTCCGTTCTTTTAGTGAGGACAAGCTGTAGTCATTTGCAGTGTTGCATTAAATGACTTCGCATTTCTTACCTATGTGAGATCCTGGTTGCTCATCTGTTGACTGAGTATAGTGTTGACAAAAAGCTTCTCCTATGCTTTTCACTATGTTCATGATGTTTTCCATAGGATTGCGTACACAAGACCTGTAAAATGTAATATGAGTAACCTAATACTGAAAGAAATGATGTTACATCATTCGGTGGCTTAAGTTCTGTACTGTGCTGTAAACTTAGCTATGTAAAATAAAACACATTATTAAAATAAAGAAGGTATAAAGTCTTTAAATCAAGTCACCATGAAGTCCTTGGGATTCAGTTTTGCAATTGACATAACACGTAAGCAGGGCTGATATAGTATACAGCCATACTATGGACACATACACATTATATTTGAGTTACGCTCGAAGGCTGATGAGGCAATATGGTGTAAAGCACTGGCTTTACCTCAGATACTTATTAGCAGTGCAATCCTGGGCAAGTTGCTTAACATCTGTAAAATGAGGGAATTGGACTTGATATCTGAAGTCCTTTGCAGCTCTAATCTATATTTCTATTATCTATGATCCTATCCTACAGATACTCAGATATCACACAAAGACTCATGGAGTTGCAAAGAACCTTAGAGGTCATCGGGTATAACTCATTCCCTCTTCAATAACCCCAATGAGTGTTTATCATGCCTTTGTTTGAAGAACACTAGTGAGGGGGTACCCACTACCTTCTGAGGGAGCTCATCTTACTTTTACATAGCTCTATTTGGAAGAATATTTTCTTAAACTAAGCCTAAATCTACCTCTACAACTTCTATCCACTGCTTCTGGTTATGGCCTCTGGGGCCACCTAGAACAAGTCAAATCCCTCCGCCATGGGAAAGCTCTTCAAATACTTGAAGATGGCTATCCTATCCTCACTAAGTCTTCTACTCTTTAGGTTATATATCCCATTCTTTCGACCAGTTTTCATACTGGTTGAATCTTAAGGTCCATCCTGGTTGCCTTGTCTGGATGCTCTTCAGCTTATCCCTAAAATGAGGTGCTCGAACCAGCACACAATATTCCATATGTGGTCTGACCAAAAAAGCTGTAGTTCTTTCTCTGAAGAATTTCAGGGTGCTTTTGGAGCTATAAAGGAATGTCACAATCTTCCTCTGGAGTTCTAGGGCATTTTGGCATTTTTTTTTTTGGCATTTTCTTTTTTCTTTTTTATAAATTTTTTATTTTTTTATTTTTAACATGTGTTTTTAAAGCTTTGGGTTACAAATTTTCTCCCTTCCTCCCTCCCCACCCACTATCATTGAAAAGGCAAGCATCTAAGTACAGGTTATAGATGTGTAGTCATGCAAAACACTTCTACAGTAGTCCTGTTGTGAAAAGCTAAGTATATTTCCCTTCATCCTATCCTACCCCCCATTTATTCTACTCTCTTTTGACCCTGTCCCTCCTCAGAAGTGTTTGCTTTTGATTATCCCCTCCCCCAATCTGCCCTCCCCTCTATCAACCCCCTGCTCTCTTGTCCCCTTCCCCCCTTATTTTCCTGCCGGGTAAGATAGATTTCCATAACCCAACGTGTATGTTATTCCCTCCTTAAGCCAAATCCTATGAGAATGAGATTCACTCATTCCCTCTCACTTTCCCCCATTTCCCCTCCACTGTAAAAGCCTCTTCTTGTCTGTTTCATGTGAGATATTTTACCTCATTCTACTTTTCCCTTTCTCCTTCTCCCAGTATAATCCTCTCTCTCACCCCTTAATTTTATTTTCCAGATATCACTCCTTCATCTTCAGCTCATCCTGTGCCCTCTATTTATCTATACATACATATAATTTTTTTTCCCTCCCACTACCCTAATACTGACAAAGGACTCATGAGTTACAAATATCATCATTCCCTGCAGGAATGTAAACAGTTCAACCTTAGTAGGTCTCTTATGATTTCTCTTTTCTGTTTACCTCTTCCATGTTTCACTTGAGACTTGTATTTGAAGGTCAAATTTTCTATTCAGCTCTGGTCTTTTCCACAGGAATGCTTGAAAGCCCCCTATTTCATTGAATTACCATTTTTTCCCCTGAAGGATTATACTCAGTTTTGCTGGGTAGATGATTCTAGGTTGTAGTCCTAACTCCTTTGCCCTCCGAAATATCACACTCCATGCCCTCCGGACCCTTAATGTAGAAGCTGCTAAATCTTGTGTAAAACACAATACTTGAATTGTTTCCTTCTGGCTATTTGCAATATCTTCTCCTTGACCTAGGAATTCTGGAATTTGGCTACAACATTCCGAGGAGTTTTCCTTTGGGGATCTCTTTCAGGAGGTGATTGGTGGATTCTTTCAATTTCTATTTTGCCCTCTGGTTCTAAAATATCAGGGCAGTTTCCCTTGATAATTTCTTGAAAGATGATGTCTAGGCTCTTTTTTTGATCATGGCTTTCAGACAGTCCAATAATTTTTAAGTTCTCTGTCCTGGATCTATTTTCCAGGTCAGTTGTTTTTCCAATGAGATATTTCACATTCTCTTCTATTTTTTTCATTCCTTTGGATTAGTGTTACAGTGCTTTGATTTCTCAAATTGTTCCTAGTTTCCAATTTCTCTCTAATTTTTAAGGAAGTATTTTCTTCAGTAAGCTTTTGGACTTCCTTTTCCATTTGGCCAATTCTGCTTTTTAGGGCATTTTTCTCCTCATTGGCTTTTTAGACCTATTTTGCCATTTGGGTTAGGCTATTTTTTAAGGTGTTATTTTCTTCAGTATTTTTTTGGGTCTCCTTTAGCATCACTCTCAGTTTTTCCTCTACTTCTCTTACTTGCTTCTCAAAATCCTTTTTGATCTCTTCCATGGCCTGGGAACAATTCATATTTTTCTTGAAGGCTTTGGATGTAGGAGCTTTGGCTTCATTGTCTTCTTCTGGTTGTATGTTTTGATCTTCTTTGTCACCAAAATAAGATAATATAGTCTGACTCTTTTTGTGCTGCTTGCTCATGATCTCAGCAAATTACTTGAGTTATAGACTCTTTGTTAAGTTAGGAGTCTGTTTCCAGTGTGGAGAATGTACTGTCCCAAGCTTCAGGGCTTTTGTGTAGCTGTTTTGAGAGATACTTCTAGGGACCTATAAATTTTCAGTCCTTCCAAGCTGCTATGATCAAGAGTGAGGTGTTAACTCCTTTGCTGGCCTGTGCTCTGGTCTATGAGCACTCACAAGACAGAAAGTCTTGGAACTGTGAGGAGGGTTTCCTCTCCACAGCCACTACAAGCTCCACCATGCCAGCGCTCTTCCTCACCCCATCACCGCCACCCAGATCTGTGACCCAGATCCAAGTACGGGCAAAGCAAGAGAATCCAGCATCAGCAGAGAGATCCCTGCAATCCTCCTCTGATCAGCCACTCAATTCCCCCTCAGCCTGTGGGCCGGAAGCTCAGGAAGTAGCCGCTGCCTCGAGGAATGGTGCTGGGATCCTGCGTTCCTCTCTCACCACCGCAGTCACAGACTTTTCCCACTGACCTTCTAAGATGTCTTTGGCGTTCGTGGGTTGAGAAGTCTGGAAACTGACACAGCTGCTCTCGATTCAGTCCTCTGAGGCCTGCTCCAGGGTTTCTGCGGCCTGCACACCCATGCCAAACTGCGCTCCTCTCCCAGCCTGGCACGATACACCTTTCTGATCAACCATCCAGGCTATCTTTGGCTGGAAATTTGTTTCACTCTGTCTTTTTGTGGGTTCTGCTGCTTTAGAATTTGTTTAGAGCCATTTTTATAGGTATCTGGAGGGATTTGGGGGAAAGCTCAAGCAAGTCACTGCTTTTACTCGTCATTTTCTTAACAAGAGGATAGCTTCAACATGTCCTAAAACTTGTCTTAACACAACAGAAAATTTCACATGAAGTTGTGACCAAAGAACTGATTATTGCTCGGAGCAGACTAGAAGCAGACACAGAAAAGACACTAGACTAGTGGTCATTCTGTATCTGAATGACCACTACACCTAAAACATGCATTTCTATTAATAAAAACCACTTCCCTTTGGAAGCTTTTATCTTTCTTTTTCACAGAAATGTAGGAGTCTGACAGTAAATATAAATCCTAGGTCTATTCTCTGAAACCTGAATCAAGCTTGATTTAGTCCTTCCAACTTAAGATAGCTTCTACTTACTTGCTTCTGTTTGTTTGGTTTTTTTGCTTTGTTTTTTTTGGTGAGGCAATAGGGGTTAAGTGACTTGCCCAGGGTCACACAGCTAGTAAGTGTCATGTGTCTGAGACTGGATTTGAACTCACATCCTCCTGACTCCAAGGCCAGAGCTCTATCTACTGTGCCACCTAACTGCCCCTAATTGCTTCTGTTTTCACCAATGACTTTTACCTGCTAATTAGTGGAACAATAGCACTAATGAATGGTGATAAGTATAATCTTATTTCCCTAGTTATTCCAATATTAATTACTTTCAATTTTTAGTATCATGATATTTATATGAAGATACATATTCTGAAATATATTCTATATAATAATTACAACAATTAACATTTGTATAGTACTTTATAGTTTGTAAAGGTTTTTTCCCCCCACAAAATCCCTGTGAGTGTAAGTATATCCTTTAGAGTAAATTACATCCTTTAGAAATCTTTATGAAATACATATCCTGTTCAAGTGATTTTTTTGGGGGGGGGTGAGGCAATTGGGGTTAAGTGACTTGCCCAGGGTCACACAGCTAGTAAGTGTCAAGTGTCTGTTCTGAAATCGCATTTGAACTCAGGTCCTCCTGACTCCATGTCTGGTGCTCTATCCACTGTGTCACCTAGCTGCCCTTTCAAGAGATTTTTTTTTAAATAAACAATCTCCTCTTTGGAAGAAAAGGGGCAAAACTTCCACTTCACCTTTCTATACTGATTTAGAAGGTGTGTAATTATAAGACAATTTTCTTCAGAAGTTTCAAACTATTAACCTAAATTATGGCCTACTTTAAAAAGAAAATGATGTGTAACAGTTTGTAGAATGTTTGCAATTATCAAGAGAATTGACGTTTCCTTTCCTCTCATCTTCTAAACCCTTCACAATTTGGCTTCTGAATTCTTCATTCAACTGAAACTATTCTCTCCAATGATTTCTTAATTGCCAAATCCGAAGAATGGCCTCATCTCATCATCCACCTTGACCTCTTCGCAGCATCTGGGACGGCTGATCACCTTCTCCTGGATACTTTCCTCTCTTGGTTTTGGTGACTCTGCTCTCATTTGGTTCTCCTTCAAACTGTCTGCCTGATGCTCCTTGTTGGTCTCTTTTGTGGGATCTTCATCCAGGTCATATTAGCTAATTATGGGTGTTCACCAAGGCTCTGCCTTGCCACTTTTTTTTTTCCCACTTTTTTTTTCACCCTATATTATCTCATTTGGTGATCCTGACAGCTCAGGTTCAATATCATCTCTATGCAGATGATTCCCAAATCTATATAGCCAGGCCTAATTTCTTTCCTGAGCTCTAGCTCTAGTCATATCATATCATCAACTATCTTTTGGACATGGGCATCTCAAACTCAGCATGCTCAATAGAGAACTCACCTTTCATCCCAAACTGTCCATGTTTCTAAACTTTTCTCTTTAGAGAACTTTCTTTAGAAACTCCACATTTCTAAACGTACTTATTATTGTCAAGAGTACCACCATCCTCCCAGTCACCAGGACTTTTAACTTCAGTGACATTCTTCAACTACTGTCATTCCCATAAATCCAATCCATTGCTAAATTGACAACATTGCCAAGTTGTCACTTCAACCTTCATGTCATCTCTCTATACATCTCCTCTCCATTCATACGGTCACTAACCTAGTTCAGGCTCTGACCACCTCTTCCCTGGACAATTACAAGAGCTTCCCAGTTGTCTCCCTGCCTCAATGAGCTCCAGTAGTTGCCCACTGCTTCCAGATTCAAATATAAAGTCCTCTGTTGGGCATTTAAAGCTCTTCACAACCTCACTCTTTCCTACATTTCCAGCCTTCCTATGCCTTATTACTCTTCAAGTACCCTAAAGGGCATGTACACTTGCAGGGAAGTATAGGACAGCTATCCTGTCCTACTCATCTCCCCTCAAGCACAATGATTGCTCTATCTTGGTGCTTTGCATTGGCTATCCCCCGTGACTGGAATACTCTCTCTTAGTTATCCTGGCTTCCCTCAAGATTCATCTCCAATTACACCTCCTGCAGCAAGTCCTTCTGGTCCTCACCACATACACACTCCACTTACTAGTGCCTTCCTCTCTGAGATTACCTTCCACCTACTCTGTATGTATCTTGTATGTGCTTAGTTATTGGCACGTTGTCTGCCCTATTAGAATGGCAGCTCCTTGAGGGCAGTAACCATTTTTGCCTTTCTTTGTGTCCTCAGTGCTTACCTGGCACATAGTATGTACTTAATAATTGCTTGCTGATTGATTCACAGTGCAAGTCCAACACATAGGTATTACATAATTTTTCTAAGTTACAAACTTGTACAACATGGGCTTAACTAGTACAATTACATTTACTAGACAGGAAAAAATCTACTTCAAATAAGAAAACTATGTCCCAAGGGCTATGAGAAGCACATGAAACTTTCATCTAAAACTCTCCATGTTTCTAAACTTTTCCCTAAAAGAGAAAAACCCAAGAGTTAGTAGTTATATGCTTACTCAAAAATATTCACAAGTTGCTCGCTTGGTGCATTTTTCAGTCCAGCCACGATGTTCTGTAATCGGCTCACACTTTGGGTTGCTGAAGCTACAGGAGTAGTAGCAGCTTCCTTTTCTTGTAGATACCGACGTCCAGTCAGTGGAGTAGAAGGGGCAAAAGATCTTTTCTGTCAGGAGGGAGAGAAATCTTTAAGATTCAGAAATTATGCTTCCTTTCTCAAAGCATTTGTAACAAAAAATCATATGCACATCCTTCACTGAAGTCATGTTTCCTTATAAAGAAGAAAAATTTTTCCTATCCTGCTATCTACCTGCAAAAGTTGGGCATTTCTACACCTTACAATTGAATATTACTTTTTGTTTTTCAAAGCATTTTATGTTATTTCATTTAATCCTTACAAAAATCCCATAAAATGGTTAAGACCAATATTGATTCTCATAGTATCATATAATTTAGAGTTGGAAGGATCCTACAAATAAGCAAATCAACCTCCTCATTTTACAGGTAAAGACTGTGGCTCAGAGAGGTGAAGTGAGTTGTCTGAGGTCACTGAGATGGAAAGTAACAGAGGGGGACTTTGAGCCCAGGCTCTCTGCCTCCAAATTCAGTGCTCTTTTGTATACAAGTTGCTTCAATTTACAAATCAGGCAAAATGAGATTAAATGAGTCCCTGCAGGTTACATGACATTAAAACCTAGAAGATTCCCAGCTTTCCTAGCTACCAAACGAGTCCCTATGCACTGAACAAATACTTCTAGGAAGCAGGTGAAGGCATGAGAGCATTTTAGCCACGGCTGTGATAAACCAAAGGGTGGAGTTACACAAGCTGAGGGAGAAGAATAAGGTCTATGTCACAGGTAGGAGGTCAGAGTCTAGAAATATCACAGGCAAAGGGAAGCTAACTAATAAAAATGTCTTACTCTGTGCCCTTCTCTCCATTTACATGGCCACCATCCCAGTTTAGGCCTCACCTCTCACCTGGACCATTGCAAGAGTCTCCTCAGTGCCTCCTTATATCTACCCTTTCCCTATTCCAAGCCATCTTCCACTCTGGTATCAAAGTGATATTCCTAACGTGCAGGTCTAGACTATGTCACTCTCCAGCTAAACAAACATCAAAGGCTTTCAGAATAAATGAAACTCTTCTGTTTGACATTGAAAGGCTACTACCATCTGGCTTGAACTTACCTTTCTAGGCTAATTACACATTCCCCTCCCCCCCATGCACTCACCATGTGCACTACCTATGTAAACATCCCTGATGTCCCTTAAACATAACATTCTATTTCCTGTCTATGTGACTTTATCTATTTATCTAGTCATTTACTTAAAAGACTATCTCCCTAACTTACCAAGTCTAGAAGTGCAGAAGATATTCACAGGCATAATCCCATTATGATCACTACAGGAACTTTGACCTAATCTATTTCTAATCTGGGCCAGCTTGCTCCTCTTTAGGCAAGGGGCTGGTGGCCAACAGCTCTAAGAGTTTCAACGAATTAATGCCAAATTTAGTTTGGACACCCAATCAGCTTAGCCCACTGTAGTCCAGAACTCCCAAGCTCAAGTGATCCCCCAACCTCAGCCTCTTGGTAGCCAGGATTACAGGTATGCTCCACCATACCTGACTTCTCTTGATTTCACATAGGTTATTTGTCCCTCATGCCCAGCATGCTTCCTTCCTCACCTATACCTCTGAGAACCCCTAGCTCCCTTCAAAGCTTTAGCTCAAATGGTACCTCCTACAAGAGGCTTCTTTGACTCCAACAGTGTTAGTGCTATCCTTTGAAATTACCTTGTATTTATTTATCTGTGCATGTGGTGTTTCCCCCAATAAAATGCAAGATCCTTGAGGGCAGGAAGTGATACACTTTATCTTTATCTTTGAATCTCTGGGCCAGGGCCTGGAAAAGTATGTATCTATCCCAACTGAACATCAAGAGATGAGAAAATATAGCCAGAAATAGTAAACAGCAAGTATAATCCAAAGGATGTGTAATTGTGTCAACATGAATCTTCCTTTCAATGACACAGATTACAAGCTCTCCATGCCTGCCTGTCCTAGGTTACTCCCATCCATCTCCTTCCATATGTTTGTTATAAATGGTCTGTGTGCTGAAGACCCTTCCTCATATCCTACTGGCATCCCAAAGATACTTGTGGAGCACACACTACCCTTAGTTATCCCTTGTCTCATCTCATGACTGGCCCATCTTTTTTCTTTAGGTGTATATTTCTCTGATGTTGTCCTTTGTGCTAATTCTTCTCCATTGCTCTTTATGTGCTTTGTGCTGCAATCTACTCACACTCATCATGCACCTTTCCCTACACTCTCAAAGCTACCCACATTCCATGGCTTGCAGCATACATCAATGCTGGCAATTTAAAAATGTGGTTTTTTGTCCTGGGAGAAGGTAGGGACATTAAAAGAATTTTGTAATTTCTCAAACGTAATGTAGGTCACTCTTCTTCTATTTAATTCTGGGCCCAATTCCTTGTCTATTTGTACTATCTGTGCCTGGACAAGATAGATAGATACTGATGAAAGAGCTTTATAGGTTGCCCATCTAACTGCATGTCATAATCTGGACAACAATTGCTTCATCCACTTGGTCTTTCATGGGTGGATTGTTAAGTCAAATTCTTTTGTGGTTATTGATGTTTTCCAGGATGCTCTGCAATATTCCAGGGCAAGATATACCCAGCACAATGGCATTGGCAAAGAGAAGCAACCCAGTGGACTTCACCATCCTTAAGGAATCTCCTCCTTTAGTGAACACAGACCTCTCAGTTTTATGCCTGATACTTATGATCAGAGGGTTGAACAAGGCTTCTCTGTTATTACATCTTTCAAGGATGTAATGTAAATAATTTCAAGGTATGAGACATACCTTGTCAAAAATGAGCCTTTAAGGCAGTGTTGATGTATACACCAAAGAAATAAAGCAGAAAGCCTAAACAGTTCTCTTTTTAAAATCCCTTTGGTTAATAGGTTCATAAGAATATAGGCTAATACTGGAAATTCAAGATTTTATTACAAAAAGATACTTGTGTTCTAGAAGCAAAATGACATAGGATTACACTGAAACCTGAACAGGTTACGTACCTTCGCAAAATGCTGCTGAAGGTTACATTCCACTTGGACTCTTGTAATCAATTTTCCTGCCGGGGTGTCACCTATAAATTTCTGAGGACTTCCAATTTCTTCTTCTGCATCTGCTCCCAAGAAAACCCTTTCATCAAAATCACCAACTGTAAGAACGTATTCTTCGTATTCCTTATTTACTGCTTTGCTGAAAAGAAACAGTATTTTAAGTTGATGGATAAACGTTTACTTAAAAAATGAATTTATCCTGACTCAAAGATAGAATCAAAAAGTCCAAGAAATCTTCGGCTGTCCTGACTGAAGTTTTATTGACTTTATCTGTCTTTACTAATATTGGGAACTCCCATATTTCTTCAGTACCTTCACCAACCACTAAGAAATCCTCATTCCTTTGAAATACAAGGGTACAGAAAATATAGACTAACTTATAAAACATCAAGGAAGATAAACCCAGTTAAGGAGAACAAAAAGGTATCAGCTAGGAAATAATGATTGCTTCAAACTGTGTACTTTTTTGATACATCAAGTTACTATTTTGTTGTACACCACACTTGGGAATGATAAAATACCTTTCTGCATCCAAATTGAAGCCATTAGGCCAATACTTAAGGGCAAGTTTAATAACTATTCATCTCTTGCCTCTAAATGAGGCAAAAATTCAAAATCTTTGGAGCTCTTCTGATATAAATAATACATACCTATTATCTGCAAAACTGGAAATATCCAAGAGGCATTCTCCTTTTAAAATCTGCATAAAAAAAAGATATATTTAGAAACTTGGTATAACCTAGCTATACAAACTTAACAAAAAGGTGAAATAAGTTGAGAAATAAATAAACATATTTATTCTAAATGTGGAAGACAAAATTCTTGGCAATAGATTACTTGAAATAAAGTTAGCAGGTTTCAATATATACAGATAAAATATGTATAGCATAAAACTAAGAAGGGCAACATTGAGAAACATTTTAATCTTGGATATGTCATTGAATTTATAAGGACAATACCAAGTTCCTAATGAGCAAGTGGCCAAATACATACAGACAATTCATGAGACAGAAATCCAATACAGTGAATATTTGAAAAACATATAAAGTCACCAACAATTACAAGCTAAAGATACATATGATCACTATTTAAACATCTGAAGGACAACAGGTTATGAAGATTGTTCTTTGTGGACCAGAAAAATAAACTGAAGCTGTATCGAGGCAGATTTAAATTTGATAAAAGGAAAAACTTCTCAACAAATAGAGCTGCCAGGAGTGGAATGGACTATCCTAGGAGGTAGTGAGTTTTCCAGTGCTGAAGGTCTTAAAGCCTAGGCTTGATAGTCACAATTGGGGATGCTATCAAGAGGGTATTTTCTCCAGGTAAGGACTAGACTAGATATTCTCCAAAGTTCCTTCTGATTGATTATATTATACTACATCATATTCACTAATTTAGGGAAAACTAATAAAAATTATAAAAACCCAATCGTGGGGTGATGAGGAAAAAGATATACGCTCTGCTGCTGGTTTTACAAATAGATGCATTCTTTCTGAAGAGTAAATTGGCAATGCCCAGCAAGAATTGCAAACTGAGTCACAATGTGTGACCCAGTGATCCTAATATTGGGACTATCCCCTGAAAGAAGTATCTTTAAAAGAAAAAACAATTTGTTTAAAGCTGTATTATTTGTAATAGTGGAAAAACTGGAAATAGTCTAAATGTTCAACTGTCGAGGAAAAGTGGACGGGATTGGGATTAGGGAGAACACAGCACACCAACATGAAGATGACTCTCTATGCAATGTAACAAATGCTAAGAATACGTGGAAATAAGAAAAAGTACAAAATGGAGTAATGCAACATGGAAAAATCAGAACTGTGACCATATTTTAAAATGTGTTTTGTGAGTCAAATAAAAAATACCATATCCATGGAAAGAGGATATGTGCAAGTATGTATTAGATATATTACTGGAGAGAATCCTAAGGATCAGAAAGGGAGACAAAGTTGTTGATAAGTTGCCATTGCATGTGTATGTCTAAATATTCTTTTTGTTGTAAAATTGAATAGCCATCAAATACAATTGGGGGGGAAATAAATTGTGGTTTTTAGGTGGGCAGAAGAAACAGTATATCATCTTGATCTAATAGAATGCAAAGAAACAAAATATAGAAATACAGAATATTTTCTGCAGACCAATGAAGATTATTTATCATGTAAATGAAATCCTGAAGTACTAGGTAACTCAGGACACACTGGAGTCCTACATCTAACCCAGAGATGCATCATGCTGGCCCCAGTTTTGCTTGCTTAGCTTGGCTCTGAGTCAGACATGCAGAAACATCAGGGATTAATTGGGATACTGTGGCCATAGGAGAGAGCTGGCCTCAAAGCCAGGAAGATCTGAGTTTAGATCTCACTTTGAATTGTCACACAACTGGGTGTGTGACTAAGGGCAAGTCCCTTAACCTCTCAGTGCTCCAATCAATTCTAAGACTATAAAATGATACAGAAGGTGCCCACCTGCATCAGTAAAGGGATTTCCCTTCCATTTGAGATTCCTACACTCATGAAATCACAAGCCTGGTCTCTTTCTCTAGTGGAAATACTGGGGAACAAAATTAGCCAAATAGTGATACAGTCTTATTACTTAGCTTGTGGAAGTAAGCTTTAGCAAAAAAAGAAGAAAGCAAGAGCTTCAAAAGAGAATTTAAGTCTAGTAAAGGGACAAGAAGAAGCCTTCAATTACTAATACTGATAGGCTTCTAAACATTGCCCTTGTTGCCATTAAGTAGAACCTAGTATGTATCTAGTGCCTGCCCTCTATAAATAAATAATGCTTGGACAATCTCCTAAATATTAGATATTTGTCAGAGAGAAAGATTTCATATTTTCTTAATTAGTCTACATTATGGATCAAAAACCATAAGGTATGATTTTCAGAGAAGGAAAATTTTAAAGTCATGAATAATATTCCTCAGGATAAACACTGAATTATGGAACACCCTGTTACCATAAACTCTATCTGAAACTTGTTGTGTGAAACTAAGTCATCTTACACACTACTCTTAACATTGTTGACTAAGTAGTTTTTTAATATATACTGCTATGACATGTCAGAATCATCTGTAAATTTCCCTCACCCTGCCCCCACCCACCATACCTAACTGAGCAGCTAAGTTTCTACCTCTTAATATTCCTAAGGCCCAGCCTAACCTCATGGTCAAAAACTTTCTAAGACTCTCCATGGCCCATAAGATAAACCACAAACTTTAGCCTGGTAATTATCTAAAGTTCTCCACAATCTCCTCCCACCTCCCTGTCTATTCTTATTTCATACTACTTCCCTTCACAAATGCTACATTGCAGCTAATAAATGTTTCTTGAACTCAACACTACATTTCCTATCTCAGTACAATCATATAAACTGTCTGCCATGTCTGAAATACACTGCCTCTTAATTTCCTCCTCTCAGAATCCCTGTCTTCCTCCAAGGCACAACTCAAGTGCCCTCTCCTCTGTGCAGTTTCTCAGACCCTCCTCCTCTTCAGGTTTTTTTTTGGGGTGGGGTGGGGGTGTTAGGCAATGGGGTTAAGTGACTCGCCCAGGGTCACGCAGCTAGTAAGTGTTATGTGTCTGAGGTCAAATTTGAACTCAGGTCCTCCTGAATCTAGGGCCAGTGCTCTAACCACTGAGCCACCTAGCTGCCCCCTCAGTTTTTCTTTGCACTGTACTCATCTGCAGGCATGTTCTAGCCCGCAATTAAACCTAAGCTCCCTGAGGGCAAGGACTGCTTTAGTTTTGTCTTTCTACCCCTAGTTTTCCAATGCAGCACTTTATGATATAATTATTAACAACTTTTATTTCCCCCTTTGAAAATTCATATTTTTTGACAATTCATCCAATATATACAAGAATTTATCTCTGTGAATTTTTAGCAGTTTCTTATATGGTTTAGGTGTTGTTCCTGTCATACCTGCCACAAATATTTGCCCAAAGTGTTATTTTCTCTTTTTTTAACCAGATATAAACAAGTTATTTTAAATGTTATCAAGCACATCTAATCCTCCCCAAACCCAGCTGTGTGTTCACTCGTTTTTAACCACCTCATCTCTACTTCATCAATTTTCTACTGCAGCTCTCCTAGCCCCTTCCACTGTGCTCTCCAGAACTCCACTCTGTGATTAACACATTTCCTTTCATCTTCAACTACTTCCTATCTTATTTCTTCTATCTTGTGCCCCTATCTGAGATGGTGGCTCCTTCTAGATGACACTAGCACTCAGCAACCTCTTTTGAGTTTCATGCAAGTTAAATTTACCATCTAGTTTAGATTCTGGTAGCCATTATCTACAGGTTTCCAGGGCATTCTCTCTTCTTTCTCAGTAAGTTCAATCCCTGGCTCAGAGTCCTCCTCTCTACCCCAACCTCTGCCCTCATACTAGGGGACTTCAACTTTCACGCTGATGTTCCCTCCAACACTCAAACTTCTCAGTTTCTCAATCCACTCAACTCTCATGGCCTACTCTTCCATTTTACCTCTTAATTGCCAAAACCTATGAGTAGCCTCATCTCATCATCTACCTTGATCTCTCTGCAGCATCTCATACTGCTGATCACCTTCTTCTCTTGGGTACTTTCCTCTCAGTTTTCATTACCTTTCTCCCAAAACTCTCCCCTCTTCTGAATTTCCCTACTATTCTCAAAGGTACCACCATTTTTCCTATTGCCCAGGTAGGCATCCTAATATTCTCTTCAACTGCTTCACCTCACATATCCAATCAGGTGCCAAATATCATAAGGTTACCTTCCATCCAGCACCTATCTTGTATATGTAGATTTATGTCCATGTTGTCTAACCATTAAAATGTAAGCTGGGCAAGAACTATTGTTGCTTTTTCCTTTGTATTGGCACACAGTAAGTGCTTAATAAATCACTGTTGATTGAGCATCCCTAATAATTCTATTTAATAAGAAAAAATAATCTCCCCACAATTAAAATAAACTACATTATTCCATTTTCTTCCTTTCTTTAAGGTTCTATTTTATGTTTCAGTATTCATCCAGGCAGAATTTACTAAGTTATATATTGTGAGATATGGGTCTAAATCCATTTCCTGCCAAATTATTATCCAATTTTCCCAAGTACATGTATTTAATAATAAATCTTTTTTATAGTTTTAGTTTTTACAGGCTTATAAAACATTTTTTTTGGTCCATATTTGGTTGGATATCTGGCTTCTCTATTTTTTGCCCAGTACCAAATAGTTTTGATAACTGCTTTGTATTGTGTTCCAAAGTCTGAGAGAGCAAGACCTTCATTTCCAGGACAACTATAAAATGATAATAAATTAAATAAACCTAAATAACTGAAAGGATATTTATTGTTCATGGTAGAGTCAGTTTAATTACAATAAAAATAATACTCCCCCACTCAACTTCTTTATATTTACTGTAACACCAGTCAAAATACTAAGTAGTTTCTTTATAAAATTGTATATAATGTATTTTCTGGTAGGGGTATGGGGGTGGAAATGGGAGTAGGGTCCTGAACTGTAATTTCATTCATGTAGAGGGTTCCTGTTGTAGAAACTTCTTCCACTACTGTAGCTCAGCAACTCATCTATAATTTATAATGTCAGAGAGTTGCTTGGAACACTGAGAAATTGAGAGATCAGCCTATGGTCACAGGGCTAATATGGGTCCAAAACAGAACATAAACCCAGGTCTTCCTGATTCCAAAGCAGTCTCTATATCTCTTGTACTATGCTGTTTCTTGTCAAAAATAATAATTAAATATATGTGGAAAAATCAGCAAGAATTTCTGGGGGTATGCCATTAGTAATTTTTAAATATGCATGTATAATCCATAGTGTGGATATTCAAGGAAGAAAACTGCTATATACAGAAGTCTGAGCAAGAGACGGGTCTTTACCATAGAATACTAAAGCTGGAAGGAAATCTTAGAGATCATCTAGCTTAACCTTCTCATTTTACAGATGAAAATATGAGGTAAAGAATTTAAAGTAACTTGCTAAGGATCCCCCAGCTAGTTAGTGAGAGAACTGGGACCATCACAAACTTGAAAAGGTTTAATGGTAGAAATGGAATTTACTGAAAATCACTTTTCTATTTGATAACCACTTGAAATTTTATTTATCTGATAATAGGCAATGTACCTTTCTATCAAATAGTTTTGAAATGTATGGTTTAAAGTAATGCTCTTTTATCCCTTTTGCTTCTACTAGAAGTCCATCATGCAGCTCACAGAGTGTGGCAATGATACATGGCGGTTCTTCAGAGGCTCTAAAGTCAGAAGTATGGAAATCAGGTGGTAAACCTAAGGTGGCATAGGGAGAAAGAAATAGAAGGAGGAAAAGAAAAAGAGAGAGGGACAGAGAATATGGTTATTTTTTAAAATGCATTTTTAAATGGTTAGAAATAATTTACTTTTACAAATAAATAAGGTCTTACCTTTGAATGACAAATTCAGCAAATCTTTTCTATTTGGGCACATAATGGCATTTGTGAAAGTTAGATCCAAGCAGCACAGAAGTAAATGATAAGAGTTTACTAAATCATCTCCAATCATACGAAAGTTACCTTTACAAAGAACACAAAGACCACAAACCTATCATGTCAAATATGAACAAATTCACAAAATATAAATATCAATTACTAAAACATCAATTTACCTTTGGTATAGACAAAGAGCGTCCAACAGAAGTTAAAGAGATCTTTAACAGTGCAAGGAACTCGTCTAGAAAGGAAAAAAAAGAGTTACATTAAATTTCACTACTCTCACTAACCTTCTAGAATAAAAACTGCACCGAAGTTTTTAAAGTTTAGCAGTAAATAAAATGAGAAAAATATTAAAATCAAGTGACACATAAATTCCATTCACCTTACCTCACACTTCTCCTCCAAAATACAGGGCTAGTTATTTGTGGTCCATGTACTAGATTCAAACTTAATAACATTTCCAATTAGCAAGTGCCATAGGATTTCTTAAACTAAGGAATAAACAAACTCTCCCTGCTCCCTTTGAAAACTACAGAAAGGAGACAGCTAGGTGGCACAACATATAGAGCACTGGGCCTGAAGTCAGGAGGACCTGAGTTCAAATCCTAGCTGTGTGACCCTGGGCAAGTCACTTAACCCCTAATTGCCTCAAAAAAAGAGAAAAAAGAAAAATAGAGAGAAATGCTACCTTGAAATTTCAGTCACAAGTAATGTATGAACGAATATATTTAACTTCTTTGCAGGTAATTTCTGACACAAATAACAACTGATTAAACCACTTTGGAAATAAATTTTGAATTGTGGATGAAAAAAATCACTAAATTGTTTGTATGCTTTGCCCCACTGATCTAACTGTTGGGCATATACTACGATAAAGTGGTCAGTGACAAAAAGAAAGGTCCTTATATATAATACTAAATCTATAACAGCATTCTTTGTGGTAGGAAATATTGGAAACAAAATGGGTGCTTATTGGTGGAAGAACAGTTAAACAAATCATGGTACATGAACATAACATATTATTGAGTTTTATGAAATGATGAATATGAACAATTCAGAGAAACATGAGAAGACACGTGACATGATACTGAATGAAGAAAACAGAACCAAGAGAACAAAATACACAATTATTACAGTAATGTAAACAATAAAAACTAAAAAGTAGTCCAACTTTAATGAGCTGAAATAAACAGTCTCAGTCTAGGAGGGGCCTGCACAACACACAGCCCGCCAAAGGATCTCAGGCAGCCTGTGAAAAATGTCGAGGATGTAAAACAGGCTGCACAACATACCACCCATGGGACACTTTCCTGAGCCGCTTGTGGGCCATAGGCAGTATGTTGTGCATTCCTGGTCTGGGAGAATTGTTAAAGAAACATATAGAAACATAAAAATGGTTTCTCAATAGAGAGGAGCAGACTATGCACGCGAAATTCACTATATTAGTTATGGCTGCTGAATCCACAGGCCTTGCTTAAATGTTTTCCTGTGTCACAAAAAGGATTCAATGGGGATGAACAGGCAGATAAGGAAAAACACATTCGGCATAAAAATGAAAGGCAAAAATAAAACTTTTTTTAAAAGTTAAAGTAATAACAAAACAGCTAATAAAATATTATACTTTAATGTTTGTAACGTGCTGTATATATATTATTTCATTTAATAAGAGTCTTACCTCTGTTTTCTACTCCGTGGCAATTTTGGTGGCTCCTCATATGGATTTCTAAATATGTCCAAAAAAATTGGCTCAAATTTCTTGAAAATCACAGTTGACACCTCAAAGTTTCTCTCCAGCCTTTCTATGCGCTCACGAAATTCCTGTGGCAGGTTTGACATGTCTATCCACTTCTTCATTTTACTAAAGAACTGAATTAAACTTAAAAAAAAAAAAGGAAAGCAACAAAATCTGTTTTTTTAATCAGTCAACAAGATGAATTTAAAAAATAAGATAAAACAATATTCAGAGAAGAAATCTTTTTGGTTATGACTACTACTCCTTATGAAAAACACTGTTATATAACTACAACCCCTAAGCTTGTGAATTTTTTATCCTCACAGTCTCCCTTATATCCTAAAGCACATTCTCTGTACATAGTTCCTTGTATAATTAGCTTTGTATGCTTACGTGATATCATCAACTCTAGTATAAGTGCTCATATGGCAGGGATTATATTTTTTACTTTTGTTTATTCTCCATGGCACCTAGACAATGCTTTAGATGTGGAAAGAACTCAATGAATATTTGTCATGAGAGCTGGATTCACTGAATGGGCTAGAAAAAACATGAGAACACAGCACTTTCAGCTTTAGTCAATGTTCAGTTGATTTTGCTTAACTGTTATTTCTTTATTCTAAGAGAAGGCTGAATGTTTTAGGGGTAGACAAGGATATAGTCAGATGTTTCTATGATATAAAAATAAAAGGCATCAATTAAACTTAAAAAAAAAAACAATGCACGGTGCAAAACAGATTTGGGATGAGGGCACAAAAACAATAAGTTAGAAAGTTAAGATTAAACTCAGGCATTCGTGTCCTAAAGTTTAGTTTCAATCACTTAAAAGATACTAACCAGATACGTGATGACTGGAATGAAAGACTTTCTTTAGCCTATCAATCAATAAACAAACAATAAGTACCCTAAGAGCCAAGAACTGGAGAAAAACAAAAACAAAAGTCTCTGCTCTCAAGAAGCTTATGTTCTGCGGAGAGGAAATGATACACATGTAAAATTAAATATAACTTTTATGCAAAATAATTTTAGTGCCAGGGCACTAACTGCTGGGGAGAATTAGGAAAGGCCTCATGAAGAAGGCAACACTTGAGCTGAGCTTCTGAAGGAAGGCAGAGTTTCTAAGACACAGGAGTGAGGAGGAAAAGCACTCCATGCATGAAGGACAACCTGTACAAAAGCATGGAGACATATGAGGCAATGGAATGTAAAAGGAGCAGGAAGTAGGCCGGTTTGGATAATCTACAGAGTACAAAAAGATGAGCCCGGAAGGGAAAGTTAGAGACAGACTGTGAAATCTTTTAAATGCTTATCGGAGGTTTATATTTGAACTTGGATACAGTAGGGAGCCACTGGAGCTTTTTGAGCAGGGGATGAAATGGTCAGATCTGTGCTTTAGGAATATCACTCTGTTCATTGAACAGACTAGTAATTGGAGAGATTTCAAGTGGGGGATGACCAATTAGGAAACAATTACAGTAGTCTACTATCAAGTGATAAGGACCTGAACTGGTGGTGATCACATGAGTGGACAGAGGGGAACTGAATTTGAGAAATAACATAAGAGGTAGAATTGTCAAGATGTGGCAACTCATTGGATATGGGGGTGAAGGGTGGGAAGGAGAGGCTAGGTAGAGGAAAAATGCCTCCAAAGTTGCAAACCTGGGGGGGACTGAAAGTCTGGAGACCTCAATGGAGAGAAGAAAGTTAGGGAGAAGGGTGTGTTTTAAGAGACCTCTGTTACTGGGAAAATGATTCATTATTTGACACAAACTTACGAGGAAGCTGGAAATAAGTATGACAGAAACTAAGTTTAGACCAAAACCTTATGCTACATGCCAAGATTTGCTCCAAATGGATATGTGACATAGATATAAAATGTCACATTAAATTAGAGGAACAAGGAAGGATTTTCCCTTTGGATGAAAGAGGAGTTCATGACAAAACAAAGGATAGAGAGGATCATAGAAAATAAAATGTACAAGTTCAATTATACAGTATGAATTTAAAAGATTGTGCATAAACAATACCAAAGAAGCTAAAATTAGAAGGGAAACAGCTGACTAGGAAAAGTCTTGGCAGCAAGTTACTCTCATTGCCAAGATATATAAGGAATTGATTCAAATTTATAAGAATAAGAGCAATTCCCCTGATAAACAGTCAAAGGATATGAATAGGCAGTTTTCAAAGGAAGAAATCCAAGCTATCACTGGCCAATTTATTCATGTGAATAAATGCTCCAAATCATTAATAATTAGTGAAATGCAAGTTAAAGCAACTCTGATCATGGCAATGATTAACCATAACTCCAGAGGATAAATGATGAAGCATACTACCTACTTCCTGATGCATTCAATATGCAGGAACAGACCTAAATTTTGAGGCATGACTAATTCAGAAATTTGTTTTACTTTAACTGTGAATATTTATTATAGGTTTTTTTTTCCTATCTGGGAGGGAGAAGAAATAGATGATGTTAATTTAAAAAAAGTAGGGAGGGACTGGGGGGAAAGATAATGAGTTTTGTTTTGGAAATGTTGAGTTCAAGTTGGAAATGTCTAACAAGCAGTTAGACTGGGACTAACTAATATGGGACTAAAGTCACAAAAGAGACAGGCTGGATATATAGAAGCTGGAAGTCATCTACATTAAAAAAGAATTTATCAATCAACAAGCATATATTAATTCCCAACTATGTGCCAGGCACTGGGGATACAAACACCAAAAAAATGAAACAATCCCTGCTCTAAAGAAGCTTATATTCTCTCAGGGGAGAAATCATGTACATACAAAAGTATATAAAGACTAAACATAAATAAATTTTAAAATAAATATAAATAAATGTTTATTGACTGATATGTGTAGAATATTACAAAATAAATAGTAGGTGAAGGAGAAAGGATAAGAGCAGTTAGTGTCAGGAAAGACTGTGGGAGGTTGTGCTTCAGCTGTGTCTCAAAGAAAGTGAAAAACTCAGTAATAAAAAGATGAGGAGGGAGTGTGTTCCAAGGTAACCATAGAGATGATAACTGAGCCTGAGAGAGCTGATGAGACCATAAGAGAAGAAAAAAAGACCCAGGAAAGAGCCTTGGGATACACTCACAGTTAGAGAGTAGGACCTGGATACAGTAAAGTCGACTGAAAAGGAGCAGCTAGCCAAGCAGGAAGAGAACTGAGAGCAGTGTCATGAAAACTCAGAGAGGAGAGAGTATCCAAGGAGAGAAGGTAATCAAGGGTGTCAAATTCTGCTGAGAAGTCAGGAGGGATGAAATATGAGAAAAAGCCATTAAGTTTGGCAAGTAAGAGACTACTTGTGACTTTGAAGAGAGCAGTTTCAATTGAGTGATGAGATTGGAAGCCAGACTACAAAAGACTGAGAAGGAAAGGAAGAAGTGAGGGCAACCTGTGTGACAGTTTTTAAAAAGTGTTTGGCTGTGAAAAGGAGAAGAGATATAGGATGATAGCCTGAAGGGATGTGAATGTCTTTTAAGGATGGGGGTAGACTTTAAGCATGTTTGTCAGAACAAGGAATGCCCCAGTAGACAGGTTGAAGATCATAGATGGGGAATGAGGTTGGGAATCTGCCAAGAGACAGAGGAATGGACTCAGAGTATAAGCAGGATACAAGAATAGACTAACTGGCTTCACTGGCTTGCTATGCTGGTGGTATATTCTTAGTTTGTTTGTACATCCATGCTGTTTGCCTTAGATTGTAGAATATCCAGCACAGAATCATAAATGGATCAAGATATAATTTAACTGTTGTGGTATATTATTCTACAGAATACAATGCTTCTTCCTATATAGCAATACAATTCAATAAGATTCAGAACCTAAAGAGGAAAGAGGCAACACTCCATTTCCCTACAATGAAATGCAGCTCACAGTACACATGGACATCTTAGAGCTGTCTTGGATCACTGTATTGATTAGAGTAGCCTTTCACAGTCGATCATTGTTACAATATTGCTGTGCAATGGTGCACAATGATCTCCTGGTTCTTCTTACTTCACCTTGCATCAATTCATATAGGTCTTGCCATCATGCTTTTTCTGAAACCATACTCTTTGTCATTTTTCATAATACAATAATACTCCATCACAATCATATGCCACAACTTGTTCAGCCATTTCCTAAATAATGGGCATTTTCTCCATTTTCAATTCTTTGCCACCACAAGGAAAGCTGCTATAAATATTTTTGTACATACAGGTCCTTTTTAGAGCATTTTTTTCATTATGACTATAGACAGCTTTGATTTCTTCTTCTGAAAACTGCCTGTTCTTATCTTTTGACCATTTATCAATTGGGGAATGGCTCATATTTTTATAAATTTGACTACGTTTTCTACATATTTGAGAGATAAGGCTGTTATCAGAGAAACTTGCTGTAAAATTTTTTTATATCACTCCCTATGTACTTTATAGCAAAATGTAGTTCCCCTGATTATCTCTTTTATTTAGGCCTATTTTTGCTTTTGCTTTGTCTGAGATCATGATTGCTACCCCAGCCCTCTTTTACTTCAATTGAAGCATATTAGATTCTACTCCAGCCCTTTATTTTAACTCTGTGTGTGTGTTTCTGTTTCAAGTGCATCTCTTATAAACAATATATTGTTGGATTCTGGTTTTTAATCCATTCTGCTATCCATTTCCCATTCACAGTTATGACTACTATGTATTTCCCTCTATCTCATTTTCTTCTGTTTTTCCTTTTCTCTCTCTCTTTTTATCTTGTCCTCCTCAAAAATATGTTTTGCTTCTGACCACTACCTCCCTTAATCCATCCTCTTTTCATCAAGAACGCTTGAAAGTGCTCTGTTTCATTAAATAGCCATTTTCCACTCCAAAGGATTATACAGTACTCAGTTTTTCTGGGTAGGTTATTTATTCTTGGTTGTAATCCTAGCTCTTTTGCTTTCTGGAATATCATATTTCAAACCCTCTGCTCCTTTAACATGAAAGCTACTAAACCTTTTGTGGCTCCACAATATTTGAATGGTTTCTTTCCAGCTGCTTGCAGTCTTTTCTCTTTGACCTGGAAGCTCTGGAATTTGGCTATAATATTCCCAGGAGTTATCATTTTGGAAGCTACCAGTGGATTCTTTCCATTTCTGTTTTACCATCTGGATTTAAGATATTGGAGCA